TGACAATATGACAAAATACATCCAATCATGTGCATAGATAATGTAATTTAGGCTATATATGACACGTTCAAAGTGAATGTAAACAAATTAATAAAATCAAAATTATTATAAGCTTATGTGTTTGATACAACTTTGAAAATCATAAACAGCAAAATAACATTTTACCAATTTAAATCTTATTGTAATTTCTTTTCAGAACATTATGCCTTACTGTTCATTTGATTAATACAGTTTGACATAACTAAAATACATAGATTAGGATCCTGCAAGAGATATATTTATTTTGTTAGTTCAGTAACAAAAATCATTCTGTGCACTGTAAAAAGGACATATAATCAATAAGTTTTGACAAAATATTTTTTTTTTACTTTGCTTTAACTCGTCAAAATAACTACATATAAAAACTAAATAACTTTTTTTTATAAGTTATACAAGATTCAACTCGTGTTTTAAGTTTAACTGACTTAAAGGAGCTGTATGTAAAAAATGTATTTCAAATAATCATAAAATGACCCTGATATGTCACTCTAGACATTAAGAAATTATGTTCAGCCTACTTATCACTGACAACAGTAGTCCAGCCAGGATATTGTCATTTAAAAAGTGAAGTTGCAGCCCTCAACTGATGTTGATGTTGGTGATGTTGTGTTTTGGTCTGATGCTCCACCCTCCACCTATCTACCAATCACGAAGTCCGTAGTGTTGCGGCATCTTGATATCATATCGGCATCATATACACTAGACGTCACCTTGGGGTTGCATGCATCAAAAACCGCTCTCATCTTGGAACAGGGGTCTTGTCATAGGAAGTAGCTAGGTAACGCTCCTATCTCTGCCTTTACTTCGAATTAATTGATGGTGGCGGACTTTTGTGCTGTGTATGATGTTCAAATGAATGAAAACTAGGAAGAATTTTTTTTTTTTTTTTAATTACATTTTTTCTGGAATCTATGATAAATACATGCCTGACCGTTGGAACCAACCAAAAAAAAAAGATGATTTCATTATGATTTATGGTGATTTTATTTCCATTAGACCTTTGTCTACATTGACACTGATACATTAAAGTGGAGGGGTTCATCTGTTCCAAGATGGCGGCTCTATTGACGCATTCGTTCTAATGAACTGCCGTAGCCAAGCGACATCTAGTGTATCTATGTGCTCTAGTTACCACAGCTGCAGCTAAACATGTCGGATAAAAAAATGTTGGATCCTGCAGCCTACCTGACAACCTCGAATTGCCCCCCTATTCGAGGTTGTCAGGTAGGTTGCAGGATCCAACATTTTTTTATCCGTTCCAAGATGGACCATTCCAACCGTTCCAAGAAGGTTGCTGCCGCAATCTTACATACGGCTCCTTCAAACATCCAAGGTGATTGTACTTAAAAATGTAATGTAGAAACTTTTTTTACAGTGATGAAATGTGATACATTACAGCCCACAGGTGATAAAATAAAAAGATTGAGAGAGTTTAATTTAATCCATTCCGCATCCTGAATATTTTGTCTTAATAATCAGCATTATACATATTCACCTCCTTTTTTCTTTGAGATTCATTTAGTAGGATTTTTCTTGGTTGTCTTCAATAATTCCATGGACAAACAACACGGAATAGCACCAAAGAGAACATTGTGGTCCTCAGCTCTCTACCGCAGCTGTCAGAGGCAGACAGAGTTTACAGCTTTATTACTTGAGTAAAAGTACATATATGCCCCTTGCTAAATTTTACTCAAGTACAAGTACAAGTACTACAGTCAGATGTCTACTTAAGTAAAAGTACTGAAGTACTTGTTTTTAAAAGTACTTGAGTATTAAGAGTACAAGAGTAGATTTTCTAAATATTGCATTATTGCACAGAACTTACATTTATGTACAGATACATGCTATATGGAGTTATGAAAAAAATGTTAAAGTTATACCTTGGAGAATGTAAAAGAAGTTGAAAGTAAAATCAAGTCATTTTCATCTTTTTACCATGTTGCTTCATTTAACATTTAAGAAAATTTCATAAAATTCATAAAATTGAAACAGTCTGGCGAGGTGGAGCCACGGGTCGGCAAATTCACGGGATGGACCGGCTGCATCTCCATCCATTAGTTCGTCCATAGTTTGGTCTCTTATCTAAATCTGACCATGGAGTCGACTTTGGCGGAAAGCTGAAGGTGATTGCTGATAGGGTGTCCCAATCAGTGGCGCCTGCACAATCCAATCACGTTTGAGAGGGAAATAACAAATTTAGGTTTTCCAAGATTTTTCTTTTTTCCATTTTTTTTTTTTTAAATGTATTTTATTTTTATTTTGTTGGCAAGCAACATATGCCTTTTTTAAGTAGTAACGTGTACTCACGGTAATGGATAGAAATGTAGTGGAGTACAATATTTCCCTCTCAAATGTACTTTAGTAAAGTCATGCGTACTCCCCAAAAATGATACTCGAGTAAAGTACAGATCCCTCAAAATTGTACTTAAGTACTGTACTCAACTACTCCGTTACTGTCCGGCTCCATTAAATGATCTTGTGATCTCTATCATTCATTCTGAAAGTACAGAATGATGCCGGTGTCTCCCCAGATGGCATTTTAATGACCTTCCAACAAACAATCATGATTGAGTCGCAGACCTCTCATGTTGGCTTACCAATGCGAGTCCTGCTCCGCAAAGCCTTCTTGCCTTTCTGTGCAGGAGGTAGAGCAGGAGGCAACGGCCCAGGAGGATGAATTACCACCTCGTCTCTTCTCAGCAATGTTGGAGCGCTGTTTTTGGAGGCGGTCTCAGCACCCCAGCCCCCTGGTGGCTCTGAATTGGAGCGGGGCCCCAGGGAAAGAGGTAGGCAAGTTTTAGGTGTGATAGTGGTCATTGTGCGGTTGAGCACTCGTCTCCTAGATGTTCCCAGGGCAGGCATGCTGGGAGGTCTCTGTTTCTTGGTCTCCATGGGATCGACTGTGTGGTTTCTGCAAAGCGCATTGGGAGTTGTGCGAGCCAGCGCTTGTGTTCTCAGTAAGTTAGTAAGGCGGGTCTCCAGGCCGAATAGCGCCTGCTCCGTGTAGCTTTGCATGTCGCAGCGAAGCTGAGCGAGCTCCTCTCTCAGATCCCTCTTTAATGTCTCGACGTTCAACAATATCTCCTCCAACAAGACTACAGAGAATTCTTCACCTCTCTCCTTCTTATTCTCCACAGTCATTTGCTCTTCTACGGTCTCTTTCTGGACCTCCTCAGATGAGCTGATCTCATCTGTTTGTGTAGGTTCATCATGTTTCTTCTTGCTCTTCTCCAGTTCCTTGATTTGGTTTACAACATCCATTATGCCCATGCGCTGACCATCCAAACTGGCCTGCGTCCTGATCTGACTCCTCACCAAAGAGAAGACTGTATGGATTCTAGCCTGCTTTTCTTTGTCTGTAACCCCCTCCGCTGCTTCACTCTTCTCCTCCATTTCTTTATGAACAGCAGGTTCATGTTCCTCAGCTTCAACCTGCATGTTTGTTTCCTCCTTCTCTCTGTCATCTCGGTTTCTCCTCTTTTGCAACCACTTCTGCACAATGGCTGGGTTTTCTGCTGTCTCCTCATTCATGATGCTCGGCTTTCTTTGATCTTTTCTTTACTTTTCTTCGTTCTTCATGCTTGTTTTATAATCTTTTTATAGCATGTCTCGTGATGTATTGTCTTTGTTGTTTCTTCGTTCTGCTCTGATCACTCTAATGACTTGTGCTGAGATCACATTGAGCTAAGAGAGACCAACGGTGCTGTATTTCCCCTGAGAAGAACTGTAAGTGTCCAATCCGCGTCGGCTACAGACTGTTCTCTCGAGAAACATACCTCATGTGCATCAACATCTTTCCCCTAAACGCTCAATCACTAATTTGCATTTCAGCCACTGCCAGTCTACAGTGCAAATACCTGCTCTCAGTAGGTTTGTACTTCTGAGAACACTTAAGAGGTTCACACTTACATCAGAAGGATTCATAGTAACAGCGTGATCACAAATCAGTAAAGAGTTTTTTTTTTTTTTTCCCGGGCCACACAAATGTTACTATTTCCAGACAGAAAACTGTTGTAAATACTTTACGAGAGCTCCTAATAAGATGCTGAATTTATAATTAATATTATTTTAATTATTTGTGTTTATGCTTTTATATAAAGCTAGGCTACTTGTGAAAGTGTAAATGCAAATTTATGAGTTACATCACACCTGATCTGTCCTCAGCATCAACAGTGGCAGCTTAAACACTGTTAATGAAGTCCCCAGTCGGTTATAAGCATTTTTGCTAAAGGGGGGAGTGGGGGCTGTTACACAAAACATTTACCATCATGATGCATTAGAAGGGGAATGACAGAGAGGAGTTTGAATTTTTGGTGTCAGTATGACAATGCAGTTCTTTAAAATCATATGTTAATTGTTTCCATACTGAAATTTAACTAACCAAACTATAAATTAATTGTTTGAAACACTTTATAATAACTTAATAGTGATTTTTTTTTTTTTTTGGGAAATGGAAATTAAAAGAAAGTTTAACCTAACTTTTACAATTCTACCTCAGAGAGAAAAACATGCATCAATCTTCTCCTGAACTAAATCGTTTCACAGCCATACTGAAAACTACATGGGCAACTCAATAGCCAATAGGGTTGAAGGACCGTGTTCCTCCTCTTTTGTAAGGAGACAAACAACAAAAAAAACAAAAAACAAAAGCTCACTCAAAACCCGCAGCATTTCTTTTAAAACGGACAGAAATCCAAAGATCGATTATTCTACACTTGACTGGTTTTGTTTTAGAGTTAGATGTTTGTTTACATTTGGCTTGTTTCATAGACTGCACACCGCAGGTAGTTTTAAAGCCATGCTAATTATATGTAAAGCTAGTTTTATTATAAAGTATGTTATATTATATATAGTATAATAGTATATCAATATGTCTAATATAAAAGCTTATTTCAACAGCAGAGCATCATGCAGTGCCGCTCTCGTCCTCTGTGGGCGGAGTCTCACTCACACACAGTACAAATTCACATCTGCAGCATCTGCACTCACCAACTAATTTCTGCCACTGACCAAAGAAGCTGTCTGCAAGAACCACTAAAAGATGGTAAAACACTTGATTTTTAAGACATTCTAAGATTTTGATGCATTTGATTTGCTAACCAAACAATTCTAACAAGTCTAAATTCCTCATTTCTTTTTCTACAGACAACTTACACTGACAAAGGTGAAAAGGTATGATATCATTATAATATATGCATGCCTCTAAGAACATTATAGACCTACTTTAAGAAATGTGTCCCCTTTCTCCTAATGTAGGCTACTGATATTTTGGTAACACTTTACAATAAGGTTCATTAGTTAACTTTAGTTAACTACATTAGTTAACATGTGCAATATGTGAACAATACTTCTTCAGCATTTATTAATCTTAGTTAATATTAATTCCAACATTTACTAATACGTTATTAAAATCAAAGGTTGTATTAGTGAACATTAGTTAATGGACTGTGAACTAACATGAACGCACAATGAACAGCTGGATTTGTATTAACTAACATTAACAAAGATTAATAAACACTGTAACTATGCATTGCTCATCGTTAGTTCATGTTAGTTAATGCATTTACTAATGTTAACTAATGAACCTTATTGTAAAGTGTTACCGATATTTTAATGCCAACTGCATGCTGAACTTTGTTCTGAATCTGATTTTACTTGTAGGCTACTATCATTATCCCTTCATTTTCAGACTCTAGATTAATTCTGCTTATAGAATAGAAGGACATAACAGTCGTTTCTGTTTTTATATGTCAACAGCACGAGCAGGGCAGGTTTGTCTGCTTCGACCACATCACTTTCTGGGTTGGAAATGCCAAACAGGTGATTCTTTAACACTTTAAGTGTGTGGATGTAGTTTGTTTGTGAATATTAGAGGAGGTGTCCAGTAGGGAGATGCTATTGGCTCTTTTCAGGGGTGGAGGCAACAAGCTTGCAGAGGCAGAAACCACCATCCTTCACTCACTAATTTCTTCCATATTGAGACTTTTTGGGCACGTTTTTGATTCCCCAGTAGATGGAGCCATTATCATACTACACATGTTAACAAACAAAAACAAAAGATGGTTTCACTGGGAAAATTCAGTGAATAGTTTGTTTCATGTGAATGTTCAAAATGTATGTAGCCTATACAGATATAGACATAGATGAACAGTTTATTTTAAATTCAGATAGCTGATATCCCTTTTTTTACCCATATTATTTTAACTTTAGTTGCTGTGATGAATTTGTTTTAGATCTCCCTATCTTGTCATTTTGTCTGTTTTCCTCTCAGGCAGCATCTTATTACTGCAATAAACTGGGGTTTGAGCCCTTGGCGTACCGTGGGCTGGAGACAGGCAGTCGTGATGTTGTGTCTCATGTGGTGAAACAAGGGAAGGTGAGAGTCAGCTTGTTCATTCCTTATGCATTGTGAAGCTTGGCCAGTTTGATCTGCTTTGGTCAGAATTTAAAAAGGCCACATAGAAGTATTCGCTGATCATTGTTTTCTATACCCAGATTATTTATGTCTTCACCTCTGCCTTGAATCCTGGTAATAAAGGTAAGACTGATAAATGATTTTTGTCATTTTTGGTAGCCTATTAGATTATCTTTAAACTCACATTCCGTAATCTGTCCTTTTCTTTGAACAGAGATAGGTGATCACCTGGTGAAACATGGAGATGGTGTTAAAGATGTAGCTTTCACTGTAGAGAACTGTGACTTCCTGGTAGAGGTAAATGCTCACTGTAAAAAATTGCTTTAACTCATCAAAATAAGTTAAGCATTTTTTTTAAGTTTTTCAACAAATATTTTAATTTTTGGTGAAATTATTTTAATATCCAATATTTAAATATTAAAACTTTAAGGCAGCGATTTCTTTTTCTTTTTTCTTTTTTTTTTTTACAGTGCAGATGGTTTTCTCTCATGTTCTATCTATTAAAAAACACCTGGGCGTAATTTGCAGTAATCACCTATTGATTTATTATTTTTTTTCTTTCAGAAAGCAAGAGAACGAGGTGCCATTATCATTAAAGAGTCTCATGTTGTGGAGGATAAGTTTGGCACTGTGAAGCTGGCAGTACTTCAGACAGTATGTATAATCTCATGTGTTTATATATATATATGTTTAAAAAAATAATAATTGAGCAAGGATAAATTAAATTGGCCAAAAGTTATAGTACAGAAATTTATCATTTTACAAATGATTTTATATTTCAAAATAAATCCTATTCCTTTAAACTTTCTATTCATCCCCTAACTTTCTAATTATCAAAGAATCCTGAAAAAAACATAATGATTTCCACAGCAGCACTGCTGTTTTCAACATTGATAATAATAAAAAAAGAAAAACATTGAGCAAGAAATCAGCATATTATAATGATTTCTGAAGGATCATTTTAAATTGTAATATTTTACAACATTCTTTTTTTACCGTATAATTGATTCAATAAATTCAGCCACAAGACTTCTTTCAGAAACATTTTTTAAAATCCTACCAACTGTAGTGTGTGTATGCATATATATTTAAATCTTTTTGCCCCTCTTCTGCTCTGATTCCTCTTATTATTTTAGTATGGTGACACCACTCATACTCTTTTAGAGCGGACAGGATATAATGGGCTCTTCCTCCCAGGATTCTATGCTCCTCTGTTCTGTGACCCTTTCTTGGCAAAACTGTGAGTGTGTTTATGTGTCCTTGTCTTCTTTTTTAAGAGGTCCATATCTCTGATCATTCATGGATGGATTGTTATATGATTGTCATTTTCTTTGTCTCTTAACGTGATTGTTCTTTCACAGGCCAAGCGGGAAGCTGGACTTCATTGACCATGTGGTTGGAAATCAGGCAGACAATGAGATGGTGCCAGTAGTAGAGTGGTATGAAACTTTTCTAAACACATTGTTGAACTTATTTCAGCTGCGTAATTGTGAACAGACAAGACAGCATCAGACCTCTGTGTCAATACTGAAAAGCACATGAGTCACGTGAGATACTCGCTTAGAACATTGCAAGTCTTTGGGGGGGGAAACTCCCTATCCGTCCCATCCAGTCAGAATACAACGAGAGCCCTTCCCCAGTGATCAGCAGTGTGTCTCCATGGTGAGGATGGAGTAAAGACAGAAAGGAAAGATCAGAAGAGACTCAGAGAGAGCAGACAGAGACAGCAGATGGGGTGGTTGAATTTTAGTCTGTGGTAGTGGACGACTGAATATTATGCAAGAAAACACTTTAGTAAGTATGACTCAGCGAAAATTCTTTTTAAAGGACACCATCTGGAGACAGTTAGACACAGCGGGGAGGAGGGGAAAATTGTGTTGAGGGGTGGGGATAGAAGAATTATCCAACCAGACCCCATCATGTCCAGCGCTTGTTAAAACACTGCACAAAAAAATATATAGATATATACTAGATATGTATATTATTGATTTTCAGTGAAAACTTTTTTAAATGAAGATAGATTTACTTGAGAAGCAAACTGACTTAAGATACTAAAAATAATTTATGCTTTAAAAAATTATATAAAAAAAAATATCTATCAATGGGGAAAGACTACATTCAAAATGGAAAATTGCATCTTTTTTTTGCTTTTTTAACCACAAACTGTTTTTTTTTTTTTTCCAAAAAACAAGACTTTATATTTTAAGTCATTTTCCATCTCAATTAAATATATTTTGATTTAAGATTTTTTTGTTGCTATTGATATTTGTAATGGAAGAACAAGACAAAAACACTAAGAAAATCTGGGAAGATGCAGTAGATTAATTATAAAACAAAATATTTCACAAATAATATATACATACTGTATATATATATATATATATATATATTTTTTTTTTTTTTAATGAAAATGCATTTGTTTCTAAAGGAAGAAAATGCATCCCAAAAATAGGCCTATCTGAAAGAGAAAAAGCAAAATACAGGCTGAGGTTTATAAAAAAAAAAAAAAAAATGACTACTCCAAAAGTATTTATAATCATTTGGCAGATCATAAGAGCTATATATTATTATTTTTTGCCCATGCTTTTCACATCAGGATCACTTTGTTAAACTGAACTGTATGCATTTGTATGAAGGTATCAGAGGAACCTGCTGTTCCACAGATTCTGGTCTGTAGACGACAAGCAGTTACAGACTGAATACAGTGCGCTGCGCTCCATAGTGGTGGCCAACTATGAAGAAACTGTGAAAATGCCCATCAATGAACCAGCCCTGGGAAAGCGCAAGTCCCAGATCCAGGCACGTATTACAGACATGACATCTACTGTAGTTCCATCTATCCATCCATCCATTCATTTGACTATCTTTTCTCCTTTTAGGAGTATGTGGAGTACTATGGTGGCCCAGGGGTTCAACACATTGCCATGAACACCTCTGACATCATTACAGCAGTGAGTAAAAGCTTTTCATCCAAGGGTTTACAACATCGGCACAGATAAAATACATTTGTAGAGTGAAAAGGGTTGGGATTGTTCTTTGTGGAAGCTGAAAAAGTGTACTTTAGGTATGGATATTGCATTGACAAGGATATGTTTTCAGATCCGTAACCTAAAGGAACGTGGTATGGAGTTCATGTCAGTGCCAGACACTTACTACCAGCAGCTCAAGGAGAATCTGAAGCTTTCCAAAGTCAAAATTGTTGAGGACATGAGCATACTGGAGGTACAATACAATAATCAAATTGTTCATCAGCTTACTATCAGAAAAGCGAAACAATGCAGAGTTAAAATTTTAAATATGTTCTTTTGGTTTAAGGAAATGCAGCAAAGAGTTATTGGCCACCTGATTAAATTTAAATTGCAGGTCTAAAGCAGAATGTGAAAAAGCAAAATAATGTGGCATTGTTTATACAGGAACTTAAAATCTTGGTGGATTATGATGACAATGGCTACTTGCTCCAGATCTTCACTAAACCAGTACAGGACAGACCCACCGTGTTTCTAGAGGTCATCCAGAGACACAACCATCAAGTGAGACTGCTATTATAAATGTCACAATAGAGCAAATATTACAGAAATCGTTTTAGAACATACAGTATACATTCATATTTATATTTGCTATGAATTGATCAAATCTATTGTTAGGAAATGTCTCCTAAATGTGTTGATATATGGTAGTGCATTAATAACAGAAAATCCTCTACCTTTTCAGGGTTTTGGTGCTGGAAATTTCAAATCTTTGTTTGAGGCTATTGAAGCTGACCAGAAAGCCAGAGGAAACCTCACCATCCTTACACCCAATGGCACATCCGAGAAACTCTGAATAGGCTATTCATAATAAAAGCATGGTGGACACATTGAAATACGCACAGCACATGATATGCTTTGTCATATTTTTGATGGTTTTTAAGTATCGGCCATTATAATAAAGAGTTGTGTAAAGTCCATTTTCAGAGAGTAAAAGTCCTCCTCAGTATTTTTGTTCCAATCACCTGAATCTGCTAATAGATAATTATAATAATTATTCCACCCATGTACTCAGCCAGCTGATTTCACTAATTCAAACACATAGCAGGACTTTTACTTTCTGACCCCTGAACTTTCCACCTGACCTATGTACAATGCCACGTGTTTATTTACAATTGCAAACAGTCACTATGCATCACCTGACAAAATTACAGCTTGATTATAAAGGAAGCACAATAAAAAAAATTTCTCTTGATTTTTCTTCTACTGTTTCATGTCTTATTTTTCGTCTCGAATTCTTAACTGACACTGCCTTTTTGGAAAACAAATACACTAGGCTAATAAAGTTTTGCCCAACATATTGTTGTTGAAATAATGCCGCTGCAAGGATGCAGTAATTTACGTAAAAAACCCCCCAAAAAACACAAAAAAACCCTTGTAACATAAATAAAGTCAGTATATGACCAAAAATATATTTATTTGATAATAATGTCTAGTTTTCCTTTTCATTTTGTTTGAAATCATCTGCTTTAAATGGACGTGTTAGCTCCGATGGAAAAGCGCTCGCTTAGCATAAGATGCGAGAGGTAGTGGGATCAATGCCCGCATTCTCCAATAACATTTTTCCTTGCGTCAAAAAACAGTCAAAGAATAAAAAATACGATGTAAAGGTTTTACAAAGCTAAGCACTGATCAGCGGATAGCCTACTAACTCAGACACCCATTTGTGTAGCACAAAACAAAAACCAAAAATAGTGAAATTAGTTAAAAAAACATATAGGCCTAATTTTTAGGCATTTGTGTTTGTGTAGCACAAAACAAAAAATAAAAATAGTGAAATTAGTTAAAAAAACATATAGGCCTAATTTTTAGGCATTTGTGTTTGTGTAGCACAAAACAAAAAATAAAAATAGTGAAATTAGTTAAAAAAAAACATATAGGCCTAATTTTTAGGCCTAAGTCTTTACACTTAGTCTATAAAGTGTGATAGTAGGCAGAAAATAAAAACATTTATTTGGAAAAATACACATTTTTAATTTATATTTCACAATAAAACTCATGAAAGCATAATTAACTTGAATCCAATTCAAACCTTCCAACAATAACCATGATGAAAACTAAATGTAACCAGTGATGGCCTGTTGCTCTGCACATTTTACAAATCTACACATGCAGAATATAAAATCTGAGTGTCTGGAGATAACATTAACTGCTTGTGTATTTTCATGTTAAACTGTCATTTGCTCCTGTAAGAAAATGTCTGTGACAGTCAGAAATATGTTATGTCCTTGTGAATATTTAAAAATCTCTTTTCCTAAAAGACCAAGTTTAAAACAAATATAATAAAATATATTTGAAATACATTTATTTTTATACTAAGTATACTACAAATACATTTACATATTTATGTACTTAATATAAATACCCTGCAATTGTAGTTTTAGTGTACTAAATTGGTATACTTTAAGTCTGCTAAATTGGAACAACTAATTTTGTACTTAATGCACTTAATATATCCAGAAAGAGTGCTGAGGTCCAACTAAAGATATACTTAAGTATATTTGATTGTATATTTGATACTTTAGGTACACTTTAAATATCTTGCATTTAAACTGATATCATACAGAGATCATACTATCACTAATAGTGATGTCAAAACACATTTTAGGCTTAATATTAAGAAATGTGCATTGTGCAAAAAAGAAGTAATCCAAATAAAGTTGAATTATAATATTTATATCATTAAGTCTAAAGCAATATGTAAGTTAATATATTAATGGATTTGTAGTATACTTAGTATGCAATAAATGTGTTTTAAATACAGAGGTTTGTTCTTAAAGTATAAATTCATGTACAGTCTGAAACGTGTTTACTGCTAATACTTTGAAATTGTGAGAATAGTCCTTGTCTAGTTGAGGGTTCCTCTACAGTTCTCTGCAGCACACAGGCAGGGGATCTTCTCATCTTCAATAGGGAATTTGTAATCATAAGTGATCTCCTCATTTACACCAATAGGTTGCCGCGAGTAGATGACTATCTTCTTCTGAGCTTCTACAGAGATGACTTTGGCATAGCAGTTCGGCTATGGAATGAAAAATACATAAATGAAACCAGTAAGCACAAAACGTTAAAAATGGAAATGAATTAAATTCATGGCAATCACTAAACAACAAAAAGAAACAATTCTTAGGCATATTGACAATGTATTATGAATTAATGACTTTAAAAGTGTTTCTGGTCATACATTGCAACTGTGATTGATGAATCTTGCCATGTTGCCGCACTTGGTTGCATCAATTATTGTGTCCTGGTCTACCCGGAAAAGATAGCTGCTTCCAATACCCTCGTTTTCATAGCGCCGTTCACGCATGTCTGCTATCACCTACAGACAGGATTTGGGATATGATATAATATACAAATACATTTGTGATCATCAATTAACAGCTTGAATAAAATGCCGTTACTGATGTTTATACTCAGAAATGACTGCTGAAATCTTCAACCATTTATTGTGTGTGTATTGTGTATCTCACCTGCCGAATGCTCTGGCCTACATATTCAATTATCATTTCATCTGCAGCAATAGGTTCCTCTGCAAACAGCCCCCAGTCATGAATACGACTCTTGCCAAAACGCAGCTTCTTCTTACGGAACTGTAAAGAGGGAAATACATTTGTGCTCCATGTGGACCATACTAAAAAAATCCAAAACTGGTCTGTTGTGGACTCTTAAAGGAGAACTCCAGTCAATTTTAACACTGAGCTCATTTTTTTGATGAGCATACAGATTTTCAACACAGATTTTTGTCGTTTTTGTCTGTACTGACAGCACTCCAAAGGTACAAAAAAATTAGCTCAATGTTAAAATTGACCGGAGTTCTCCTTCAAGGCCCATTCACACCAAGAATGAGTATAACCATTATTAATGTCCACAACAATTCACAATATCGTTCTGCACAGCAAAAAAAAATATCTATATATATAAATATATATATCTGTCTTTCTCTGTATTTTGCATTGTTTTCCACTACAAATATAAAAATTTACATGAGAAGCAAAAATTACATGAAAGTATCATTTTTTGTTATAATTGTGGTGTGGACTACCATATCCACATTGAATTAGAACGATTATTAAAACTTTACACTTATTGTATATGGAAACTTATTTCTGCCACAGAATAAAAAATTTAAAAAAGGCATTTGTGAATTGTGATCTCTAAATTTTTCGCTTTAGACAAAAAGTCACTTTTCCCCCTCAGAATTGGACTTTATAACTTTCAATTGCTAGAAAAGAAGTCGGAATTGCTAGTTATAAAGTCAGAATTGCGAGATATAGACATGTTTTGGTAGTTTATATCAAAATTCGGACTTTAAAATTTGCCGTTGTGAGTTTTTAATCACGCAATTCTGACATAACTCACAATTGCAAGTTCATATCTCACAATTCTGACTTTATTTCTTGCAATTCTGACTTTATAACTCGCAATTGTGAATTTATATCACCTAATTCAGAGTAAACATTCAGAATTGCAAGATGTAAACTTGCAATTATCTTTAATTGTTTCATTTAGTGGTGGAAACAGGCTTCAATAATTGTTATAGTTATCACACCCTTGGTGTGAACAGATCTTTAATGTTTGTGTGTTTCTGGTGGCTCTAGCATCTTATATGCTGTGTTATGCTGTTGTTGGGACAGCTGGACTCACCTTGAGCTGATTGAATTTGAGAAGGTCACTGTCACAGCTGAACGAGGACAACAGACGACGCTGTTCCGCTCGGAGTTCTGAACCTGATCTGGATGAAGGTGGAATCTGAGCTGGCACACTCTTTCCCTGTATAGATCAGAACATAACTCCAAATTACTCTCAATTACTTTAATTTTACACTGCACCCACTGGTGTGGATGCATGAAGGTTTTGACTAACTTTGCAAATTGCACAACAGACATGGTTATGTCTCTACAAGCTGGCCATGGTACAATAAAACAGCTTTTTCTAGGTGATTGGTTTATATATGGTTATATGGATATAACAGAGTTTTACTTTGAGGTTTTAAATGAAGACTCAATAATATCAAAGTTATATATCCCTCAAAGTAAAACCTTTTGTACTGAAACAAATTAATTAGTGCACCTTTAAATTACTACATGCAAAAGCACACAGAGAAACACATGAAGAAGAGAAATAACAGACAGGGATGAAATCTTTAAAACACGTTTACAATTGAATAGCAACTGTCATAAATGTTAGCAGTCAAATAGATGTTATTTTGGTATTGTTTATTTGCTATTATAGTCTTTATTAATATTTCAATTTTTTTTCAGTTTAATTTTGTCATTTACTGTTAGTTTTTGTTTTCATAAAGCTTTAATTTATAGTTTTCCTCAAATATTTAATATTTTAAAAACTTTTAATTTAGAGTATTAATTATTTTAGTTTTACTTAAAACGGTTTCCTTCTCACCTGAGTATCTACAACAAACTCATCACAGAGATATCGCAGCTTTTCCCTCTTGCTGATGAAGTAATATCCCTCACTACGTGCACAACCTGTCACATGATTCCTGATCCCATCCAGCCATCTTATTGGCCCGTCGTCAGGAGTGCTGGTTGGTGCAGCAGAGTCAAGGAACAAACAACAGAGAATTGGGAAAATAAATTTGACACAAAGTTGCATGCAATCCACTGGATACAAATCACATTATCCAGTATTGTAACCATGACTTGTTACATGTGTATTGTGCGTTTAAGGATATGAGGATGTGGGATCCATCGTGTTCTTCTCAACCAATCAGATTCTTTATCCTGCTCCACAAGCCTCTCATAGGTGGCCTTCAGGTGCCTTATCTCCTCCTCATTCACCCCTTTAGTCCACACAGCATGGATGATCAACTTCTCTCTTCTCTCAGAGCGTGGAGAGAAGATGAGGTGATGTCTGGATGTGGATTCTCTCCATTTTCTCCATAAACATGACGACTCCTGAACCCTTTGATTCTCATTTGGTTTACGTTTGTCTTCTAGCAAACGCTTCTGTCTGTGAGCTTCTGGTAGTGTTTGTTCTGTCCTGGTATCTGATACACAATCCAAACACCCCAAAACCTGATTTGAAGAAGATTTTGTTGTCACATTGTTCACTTGTAAGGACGAATGAGTATTTATATTTGGGCATTGTCTTCTCCTTTGTAATTCAATCATTCGTTTCCTCATTTTAAGCCGCGCTCGTCGCCTTTTCAAGCGTGCCGAGTCCAAAGACTCTGTTTGACGTGAGGGGATATGGCGGTTATGAGGTTCATGCCCATTATCTATACAAAAATTGTTAGTTTGCGCATCTGACTGTGCAAAACCAAAGTTTTGATGATGGAGTCCACTAGCCCGCAGCTCTCTCTGCTGAACGGTTCTCTCTCCGTGGTTTAGAACAGGTGGAGATGGAGACATGTCTCTCCCTGGAGTCCTCGGGATCATGCTGTCAGCACATGGAGACAGAATGGAGTTAGAGGGGCTTCCCATTCTTTGTAAAGCCTCTTGCTGTAATCCCGCTGGTGTTATTCCCTCAACGTGGGAGGGACCATTGAAGCAGCTTGGTGTTTTTGGAGTTTCCTCATATGCTGGGTATAAGAAAGTGAGAGGAGGACAGTGGAAAAGGGGCGAGGAGGGATGTCGGATGCCTGTGGGAGAGGGAGGAGGTGGTAATGGTGTAGGAGGTCCTTGATGTAGAATATGACCCTCAGCCTCCTCCATTTCCAGACATCCACCAGGTGTGTGTGGCAGCTCAAACTCCTCAATTGCAGGAGGAGAAAATCTACGCCCAAGCTCCATTTCAGGGTCACTATCGGACAAAGACCCAGTAGGTGTGATGGGTCTAAGGTTCTCAGAATCCTTCAGTGTTTCTGTAATGACTCTCTGGTCCTCTGAATCTGTAGAATATTGTGTCTCCAAATCATCTGAAAGCAGAAAGATCCATAAATTCTGGAACTAACAACTACTTGATCTGGTGATTATTAATTTGATGAGTATGATATTCCAAATATACAAATTGTCGCTTTTGGATGGAAATCTCAAATCTCCATATTTTGTCCAACCCATACATCATTACTATTGGTCAACTTTTACATCTGTCTGTGGGTTATGCAAATATTTAACCAAAGAAAAGTATTAAAAAGATTTTGTGACTAATCCTCCTAACTCCATTAGATCCTCAAACAGTCAACCCTCACAACTCTACCCAGCCTCTAGTGCTACACATATTTTGGACTGTCTCTGTTTGTTTGCAATGCAAGGGTAAATAATGAACTGGTTCTTTGAATAAGTACAGCATTTTTACTCAGGAAACACTATACTGTATATTATGTATATAAAGGGTAATTTTTTATGCATTTGAGGAGAGGAGAAGAGTGTCTTAGTCTAGCATTTGTCTTTAATAACTTTGTCTTTAATAACATTAAGGTTTAGCAAACATTAAACTTTATAAACTGTAAAACGTAATGCGATGCACTTACTTCCTCAGATGCAGATGTTCTAATGACAGACAAATTACGCATGTCTGAAATTTACTGATCAAACCCATCTTAACTTCATTTGAGCTTGATTTTGGTCAAATGTTTATAATACGTAGTATGACACATGCAAGTGTCAGACCATACATAAAGCCACAATATCAACTTTGACAATACAATACTGTGATTAATTATTTTTTAAAAACACAGTTTTTTAATTTCCTGAAAAATGCTTTCAGGTTTTGAAAAATGCTATTGAACAATGTGTATTGTAAATAATTGAAATTGAAAAAGTGTTGGAAATGTGTGATGGATTGGTGATTTTTGGTCAGTGCACCTTACCTGACAGTCCTCTGTATGTAGGAGACGGTGGGCTTGGCAGCTCTGATTCCTGCTCTGAGAAGAATATCACTGGGTCTGGGAGCTTAAATTTGTTTGTTAAACAGTGTTTAACTGGGTCCTGTAAGGTGTATCTGACAGGCTCAGATAGTTTCAGACCATGCATGTACACTCTTACGCTCAGTTCCTCTTCTGGATCTTCTGCTCTCCTTGGATTCAAATCTGCAAGAGTAGAAATTACATTTCAAATGACATGAATTACAAATTGCATCAACACTTATGATATAGACATTTCTTAAATTTTCTGCTACACCAACTGAGGTCAGAAAACTTCAGAAAACATACAGTAACTACAAGAAATTAAGAATTCTCAGAAACATTTAACATATGTAATGTAAACTTCAAATAATAAACCACTATTCTTAGAGTGGATATTTTTATTTCTAAATGTCCAGTTCAAACTATAATTAAGCTATGATCTAACCTATAATCTCTAAAAAATAACAATATACAGATTAAAAAGGTATGTCTTTATTATGAATGATGGTTATGTTTTCATTTTGGAAACATGGAGGTTGATGTGTGCTTTATCTGAAAACAGAAAATCAATAAACTAACCAAACAAGTCATGGTCCACAGCACTTTCAACTGAATCTGGAGCAGAAGGGGTCACAGGGGGGCCGAGATCTTCTTCCCAGTCTGTGAAAGACGAGTAAAATGGATTGTGAATCATCTCTTGGTTTTCCTTATTATCCTCATCTGAAGAAATCCATATCTCTTCTGCTATTCTCCTGTCCTGATGTGGAGTTTCAAGAAAAGATCTTTCACCATCCAACTGATCTTCCTCCCCTGAGGAAAGACTGTCTGAGGAGTCAACGCTTCTGTCGTCTGAGGAGTCAAAGACAGATCTAGAGGAAGCTGAGGAGACAATAACAGATGGAGAAAAAGCTGACGAGTCGGAGACAGTTCTGGGAGAGACAAAGGAGTCGTATCCTTGGCTTTTAGAAGCAGACAAGTTTGAACTTGTATGGCTGATGGTATCTGGAGGATAAAAAGAAGACAATAAAAACAAGATTATTTTAAAATAGTTGTTAAATTGTAAAATGTTTTATATTTTACTACTTTATTATATATTTTAATATGTAATTTATTTTAATATTTAATGCATTATTTAACATAATGTAAAATATGTCATTTATTTATCCTGTGATGGCTAAGCTGAGTTTTCAGCATCATTGCTCTACTCTTCAGTGTCACATGATCTTTCAGAAATCTCAAGAAACGTTTCTTATTATATTATAATGTTGAAAACAGTTGTGATGCTTAATATTTTTGTGGAATTAAGTTTTTATTATTAGTGGTGCTTGCTGAAAGCAAGGCAACACTATTACTATTGTGTTTTTTGAGTCGGCCAAAAAGTTTGGCGCGCTACTCCTCCCGCAGTTTTTGTCACACACCCATGAATGAGGTCTCAAATCGTGCGGAATATTCGGGAATGGTGTGCTATGACTTTTCTAAGCGATCGGGGGTACGATGTTCGCCCGAAGGGCGAACAAATTTCCCAAAAATCCCATAGACTTAACATTGCGACAAACTTTGACGACTCATTGCTCCGAGCGAGGATTTCACAGAAGCCTGTGATTTACCACATTTGAAGAGGCTGACAGGCTCTGTAAGAACATACCTCACAATGGGGTAAAAGTTGCACCCCTGGGGGGCAGGAGCTGCCCAAATTTTCCCCCATTGACCCCAATGTTATTTAAAATTTCTAGTATAGCATTATACTATTCCAGGAAAAAGTTTGGCGCACTCCTACGTCCACAGTTTTTGTCACAGACCCATGAATGAGGCATCAAATCGTGCGGCCTATTGAAGAGAAGTGTCCTATCACTTTTATCAGAGATCGGGGGTACGGTGTTCGACCCAGGGGCGAACAAATTTCCAAAAAATCCCATAGACTTAACATTGAGACAAACTTTGACGACTCATAGCTCCGAACAACGATTTCGGAAAAACGTGTGATTTGCCACATTTGAAGAGGCTGGCAGCCTCTGTAAGAACATACCTCACAATGGGGTAAAAGTTGCACCCCTGGGGGGCAGGAGCTACCCAAAATTTTCCCCATTGACTTACTATGGTGAAGGATGTCCCATCAAATGCATGTGTTTTTCCTACTATGGTAAATTGCATAGGGATTTTGTATTGAACATAGTGTCATAGAGACAAGGGGGCGGGCTCATTTTACTCAGACGACCAATCAGTCTCTCAGGATCATTGTGAAGCTATCAAGCCACGCCCTAGCAACCATATAGAGCACCTTAGCAACAACTCCCATAGACTTCCATTGAAAGAGATCAAAGGGATATCTCCGGATAGAAGTGTCATAGAAACACAAGGGTGGTCTCGTTTGACTCGGGGTAGCAAACAGCCAATCATGAATCACCTCAACAATTTCTGGCCACACCCTAGCAACCATTATCGAGCACCTTAGCAACCAAATTTTAAAGAGGGATATCTTCCATTCTGAATGTCATACAGGCTTGGGAGTTGTATTATATCAATTATACTGACAAGCAGCCTTTGGAGATTCATGATTGGCAGCTGCCAAGCCACTCCCTAGCAACCAAAAAGAGTACCCTAGCAACCATTTTGTAAGACCTACATCTCTGCATCAGAACATCGTATAGAGATGGAGGTTGGCTCTTTTTACTCATGCTAGCAAACATGACTTGCTACATGCTACACATGCTAGCAGAGAATAGCTACATGCTAATATTGATTAGCTAAGTGCTAAATCATGCCAAGAAAATGCTACAAACTTCATAGTAACCATCTGTGACAACTACCAACCTCCTAGCAACAACCTAGCAACCACCCAGAACACGCTAGCAACACCCTAGCAACCACCCAGAATACCCTAGCAACCGCCTAACAACACCATAGCAACCACCCAGAACACCCTAGCAACCACCAAGAACACCCTAGCAACCACCCAGAATACCCTAGCAACCGCCCATCAACACCATAGCAACCACCCATAACACCCTAGCAACCACCCAGAACACCCTAGCAACCACCTAGCAACACCCTAGCAACCACTCAGAACACCCTAGCAACTGCCTAGCAACACCCTAGCAACCACCCAGAACACCCTAGCAACACCCTAGAAACCACCCAAAACACCCTAGCAACCACCTAGCAACACCCTAGCAACCACCCAGAACACCCTAGCAACCACCTAGCAACACCCTAGCAACCACCCAGAATACCCTAGCAACCACATAGCAACCACCTAGCAACACCCAGAACAACTTAGCAACCAACAATAATACCCTAGCAACCGCCTAGCAACCACCCAGAACACCATAGCAACCAGCCATAACACCCTAGCAACCGGGTGGTGAGTTTTGCCACTGCAAGCACCACTTCACATTTTCCTCTGGAAATGTACATTCTAGTTATTATTATTATTATTCTTTGATGAATAGAAAGTTCAACAGATCAGCATTTATTTGAAATATAATTAAACATTGTAAAGATCTCTACTGTAAATGTTAATAATTTTTGCATCCTTGCTGAATAAAGAAACATTCATTTATTATTTTTTTTAAGAATTTTTGTACTGTCTCAAACTTTTCAGCGGTAGTGTTTAAAGGTAGTGTTGTAAATATTATATATATATATATATATATAAAGTAATTACTTCATAAAATAATTAACAGATATAAATGAAAACCTGAATCTGAGCAATCTTCATCCTCTAATACACAGGCATCACTCTTCATATCTTTATGTAGTTCATCAGCTTTCATCTCATCACCGTCCTGAAAAACACAATAGACATGTCGAAACATGTCCATTAATGACAGGGTTCAAGCGAACACAATTTCTGCTCAAAAATCAAAATGTATTTTTATACGTGCAGCTGTATTTCAAATAAGTAAAACAATACCAGAGACACATCAACTTCCTCAGATTCTGGATTCGCCATCTTCTCAGAATTCTCGTCATCTTCTTCCTCCTCACTTTCTAACACCAGTGGCCTGGAATGCCTGCGTTTCACCATGGTCTCTTCACTGGCATTTTTGGTCATGTCCTCTCCAACATTATCTAGTGCTGTTTGCTGCTCTGGCTCTTTATGAAATAAATGTTGACCATATTATTATCAGTGTACAAGATCTACTTAAACTTTATACTGTGAGATATAAATGAACAATTGAAAGATATGTCACACTGAAGTAAAGTCAGTGAATTCATTTCCATAGTTAGATCTTTTTTCCACACTCAAAAATCAAGTTTTTCTCTAACTCCATGTGAAAAAGCAAATGCCAAACTGACCTTCTTCCTCAGTTTGTTCAAGACCAGGAGAAGGACAGATCCTTTTAACATCAGAGGAGTCCTGATTTAATGGGTCCTTCCTTTTTAACTGAGCATAATAAAAAATAAATAAATAAATAAAACAATGATTCTCAACCAGGCAGCCTAAACAACTTTCGAGGGGGCCCCAAAAAGACTTACAATTATATAATATAAGTCAAAGCAATCCCTAAAGACAACTAAAAATCAAATTTTAAATACTTATTTTAGTTCATTTATTTTCATAAACTCCCCCCAAAAAGTTTATTTTTAAACTTATGGCTTCTAGATTTGGAAAGGTTAGGTTAATTAATAAAATTGTATAACATGGTAATTGTAATGTATACATTTTTGTAGCCAATATTTTATTGGGTAGAAAGTAAAAATAATTTTACAAATTCCGCATATCACTGAAAAATTCATGGGGCTATTGAATGTTTTTGTGGACAATGGGGCCATTGGTGTGAAAAATTGAGGACCACCTCTTCATTATTCATTAGTTACATTATCTCTTTTCCATTATAAACCATTTCATTATAGGTGTTGTTTTTTATCCGAAAATAATAGTGAAGTCAATACCAAAGTGTTTAGCATGCAATGCTCTACAGAAAACATACTAAATCAGTTCTTCTATGTTTCTTCTATGTATGTATATAATCCATATTTGTACCTTAAATGATGGTAGTTTAATGGCACCATGCCGACTCGTTGTTTTCCCTGTGCCCAATACAGAGCCGCATTGCTCCATCACTTTAAGCTTGATGTCTTTATTTCCTCCAGATTTAACAGATGGGGCAGATACCTGGGGGCACACAACATGACATATATGAAAGTAATGTTGAAATGGTAATGGAAGAATAGATCGACTCTACACAGTTCATTACTACAGTTGAAAAAAGAAAGAAAATCCACCTTAGCCGCATGTTCTTTGTCATCCCACCACTGATCAAACGCTTTGAAGGACACAATCTCAATCATCCTGCGATGTATGTCTTTCTTTACGATAGCCCGCAGCTCTGCAGCAACAACAGCTAGAACTCCATCCACTGTGGCCTTTTGGGCCAATTCTTTCATAGGAACGTACCCCGGTGGGGGAACTGATGGGTCGAACCTGGGCATAGGGGGAGGAGGCCAAGGTGGTCTGAACCTTAACATGGTAGATGAACACCCAGCGGAAGGGTAAGGTGGGCGATGAGTCATGAAATTGAAAGGTGGAGGTAGGAGGGGGGGTGAGAATGAGGTTTGCACTTGTGTTATTCTAGTAGGGATAGGAAGAGGTATTGCACTACTCTGCCAGTTAGGTGATTTACAGACTTGCTTGATCTTTGGAGGAGGGTACAAAGAACAAGAAGATGGTGGTAAAAGGATTGGGTGTGGGGGCATTTGAGGAATTGGAGGGGGTAAAGAGCTCCTGTAAGTGCAGATCACAGGTATTCTAGATGGCTGATCTGAAGTATCTTCATCTTCTTTTAGGTTGACCTAGGGAAGAGATGTATATTGATGTAAATGCTTAGGGTTTTCTGCCATTCTTTTATATTTTAAATCAATTCCACAATTTGAACTAAGGCAGCAAACAAAAGTAGATGGCAGTCTAGTTCTATCAATCACTTACAGTAGTGCTAGTGGATATCTTGGACAAAGGCTTCTTGATTGATTGAAGTTCATGTTCATCTTTTGCCATATCACAGAGTGGAGTGAAACTCGCATCCTCCAGGCTTTCTTTTGGGTCTGAGTATTTATTGAGATGGGAGCCAGTATTATTTGCACTAGATGATGTTTGGTCACAATTTAGGACAACATCTATGGAGCAAGAAGGAGAGTGGCTGGGATCGTGCTCTTCAGTAGCAGTTTCTGAGTCTGAATTATCTTGGTTGAAAAGGGGCAGAACTGGACTTCCAGCACTAAGAAGCATCTGGATGCGAGAGTCTAGGCTTTCAGGCTTTGATTCCGGAGCAGGAGATTCAGGAGAAGGACACTGCACTATTGGGTCTGAAAGATCCTCTGTGGTTTCAGAGGAAGGACACAGTTTTGGGGTATATGAGCGAGAAGATTGGGCTTGTGGTGGACAATAAGTTTGGTTCACCTCTTGAGTTTTGCAAGATACTTGGGAAGCAATTCCATTGAAAATATTTTCAGAAGCATTCACATGTATTTGCATATCAGAATGAATGTGATGAACATTCACTACAATGGCCTTTCGCGGCAATTTTTCTAAATTTGGAAGTGATGGTAGATCTTCAGCAACAGATCTGTGATTAACACTGAGGCCCTTGACTGAGCCAGTAAAGGTTTGGACTGTGAGCTTATCTGAATGTGATGGTGTGGTTGAACTTTCCTGAAATTTATTAAAAGACGCTTGATTGGCTAAAGGTACAGAGCGGTGGTGACCTCCTCTGTATACAGGTCTATGTATATAGTTATGTTGTGGCCTACGGTTGTATGCATTTTGGTACTTGCTCTCGAGAGGTCTGACCCTGTGTCCTCCACGAACGTGGTTACTAAGGTGATAGTTGCGTCCAGGAGTTCTTTGCCTATTCGAGGAGCTACTGTTTTGCGACGGAGCTCCACCTAGCATCCAAAAGTTTTGCACAGCACCTTGAATAATGCTAGGTTTATTTGAGACTGGTTGAGTCAAATGAACAGGCTGTTGCTGTGAAATGTTTGGGATGGATTGTTGAATAAAAGGGACATTGAAAGCACTGGATGTCAGCGCAGACTCATTTGGGGTCCTTTCAAACTGAGATGGTGTGCCTGGTCTACTGTGGGTCATAGAAGGCGTGCAAGGGGTATCTTGGTATTGGGGGGTCTGCCAGAAACTATTAGGTGTGTCCTGATGCATGCTGGAGTAGGCAGTATCCATGGATAAAGGTGTAGAACAATCCAGTGATGGAGAACCATTACATATTGAGGATAATGATGATAGTGTGAACGGCAGCTTCTTCAGAGGTTCACACTCCTGAAAAATTTAAAGAGATTTACAAGTGAACTAAAACAATTTCAGAAAAGTTTCAATATAAAAACCTGAATTTGCAATGGTAAATGCACTTTCTGTATACTTTGTGAGAATGTCTTCTCTAACCATTGTATGTCTCTTCTGATGCAACAGAAAAGTTTTAAACTATAAATGTTATATAATAACAAAAAGTCATACCTCCACACAGCTATAGTAAATGTACTTAAGCCAGAGGGATTCAGTTCCAAGATATCAGGTCTCTAGATATATATATATATATATATATATATAATGTATATATGTTGTGTATATATATATATATATATATATATATATACACACCCAGGCCAGTGGCAATTCATTTTACAGTATTTGCACATGTGTGTAATTGCAGTGTAAGTACTAAGAAATGTACTAATATAAAGTGCTACCAAATTTCCACCTGGGCAAGCAGTAGTACTTTGTAAAAGAAATATATATATATATATATATATATATATATATATGGCTTCAGTTTGGCTCAACTGGAAAATATATATATATATATATATATATACTGTATATATATATATATATATATATATATATACACGTATATATATATATATATATATATATATAGAGATTTTTTTTTTTTTTTCAGTTGAGACAAATTGGATATGAATTATCAAAGACAAGATCAGGTGTTGTATTAGTATTAGGCTATTATTATTTTACATTTAGATACCTATGTATGGCAGACCATATGACAGGAAAGGTACTTTGTGTGGTTTTTCTCTTGAAGTCTGGACCATTTTTATATTAAGCTTAAAATAAGTATATACTAAAAAAACAATGTACATAATAATGCTCAAAATGCTCTCATTATGAGCAGAAAACAGAATGTTATCTAGTAATTCCAAAGTTTTATTTGTCTTTCCTTGCCATCTACAAATAATTTTCCCAATTCAAACATAGTTTATTATAAAATGGTCTTAGCATGCTAATTAATAGGCCTAATGCTAAATGTGGATTAAAAAAACATCTTGTCACAAACCTGGTTTAAACGGTCGGAGCCATATACTGTATGACAGATAAAAATAACTATATTTACTGCATTCTCAATTTCTAAAGCATTTTAGCGAAAGTATCAAAGAAAACTTATTGATAAAATAACCCAGAGAGAGAAGTAATGCGCATGGAACGGAAAAGGCTTGAATGAAACACGTTTGGCTTTAGATACAAATATCAGACAAGTGTTTGTCTCCGTTGTTTTGGTGCGCTGCCTAGAGTTTTTTTCTCATGGTCTGATTAGAACCAAGCCGGGGTTCGGAACCGGACAGAGGTCTGCTATTTGAGGAATCCTGATTTAAGCAAACTATTCTACATCCCTTAAAGATATATATTTTTCCCCCTATTTCAGCAAATGTGAAAAGAGATTAAAACATTTTAAGGGTGCTGAAAGATGAGATATTCTATCACAGATTAATAGGGCCTGAGAAAGGGGGTGAAAAGTAAAGAAATGCCTATGGTCTTGTACTCACAGTGAAAGAGTCAGTGATGAAAGATGGTGACTGGAGTCCCCAGGCCTCTTCTCCAACAGGGAGAGTAAAAGGTGTGTATAAACCACTAACAAGCATCTGGACATATCGGTTCCTCTTCACACCTAAAACCAGTCAGTCAATAAAGATCATGAATTATATAAAGCATGCAAATACAGTAAATGTGTCTGCATAGACATGTTTATGAAAACCTTTATTTGCAACTGATAAGATAGTAATAAAAAATTGAGAAGAGATAGAAAAAAATGTATTTACCTTTTGGGTCAAACTCCAAATGAATGTTGTTTCCCATCACAGAAGTGTTGTGGAGGTTTTTTACTGCATTATTTGCTGCCTTTACAGATTCAAAAATGACCTTTGCTATTCCTAAATGCTTCTTATTTTTCGGATTATATAAAACTTTCAAGTCTTGAACCTCTCCAAACTGTTTACACATTTCAGAAAGGAATTCATCTCTAATGTTGTCATTAAGCCTTGCAAATGTCAACTCCTTCGGCGCTCCAACATAATGCTCATCGACCTAAAAAAAAGGTTTATTGACTTAATATGGCATTATTTTGTAAATCCTTGGCAATGTAAAACAAACATAAGATACACTTCTGATCATTGTTTATTTACATGAATTGTATTATAACTTTATATAAAGTGTTTTGCTCAGGTCAAATTCATCCCAAATATAATGTTAAAAAAACTTTATTACAATTCCATTTTGTGATTTATAGTTCAATAAATAATATCTGCCAATAGGGATATGTATTATTAGGTCAGAACAACTAGATAGATTTAAATAGATTAAATTAGGTTAAGTAGGAAAATAACAGGTTAGTTTAGCAATAAGAAATAAAAAAAAGTAGCCTAATACATAGAACATTTTATAAAAAATATGAAGAATGTCAGTAGGCTATCAATGGGAATAAGGGTTAAATGTTTATCATTTTAAAAACAGTTTACAGAATAGACTAAACATTACACAATGCATTAATTTGATGTTGTAACGTTATCTAATACTGACCTTAAATTTGGGGACCAGGAGATTTGTTTCTTTAAATTTTGTCCAAAAACGAGTAGTTCTGGGATCTCGAACAACATCCACAGGGAAACATCCAGGATGCTGACAGACAACAATTTAGTAAGCCTCAATTGTACAATGAAAAATACAACTGTGTAAATATGATTTAAAAAATTGCATAGGTCACTAAGTTTGATAACTAAGCATTATATTAACGCTTGTTGTTCGCCTTAAAATCATACCCACCGGTGCACTGAAGTGTTGTCCATCATATCGGTACACTTTCTGACTTCCGCTGCTCAAATCCGGATCAATAATCAGTTTGTAACAACTCCAGTTTGGAGTTCCATCTTCCAGAGGATCAAAATTATTGATTTTTAATAATGTATCTAAATTGGAGAATCACAGCACACGATGAAAAGGACTGTTTCTACACAACGGAAGCTGAGTCATGAATATGTAAGTAGGCCTACATTAACACATATTTTGATACACCTTCGTTCCTTACCGTTATCTTTCCGTTGACCCTCCTTTTCGACGCTTTCGAACATGATTCGCAGTCATTGTACAATGTTAGTAAATTTCTCTTTATAGCACGTTGATTAAAAACGATAGTTCCTGTAAATGTCAGATGGCTGTTGTCAGGAGTGCACTGTAGGTCTTACATGATGTCTCCCAAGAGAAGCAGCACATCACTGCTGCACAACAGGTGGGAGGAACCTGCCGCCACACCCGCACTGTCATCAGGACATGATACAAAAAAATCACTGATTTCAGTTGATGAACAACACAAAATACACACACACACACACACATTCTAACGATCTAAATATTACATACAAATATTGCAATATAATATAACCATTCATTATTTTGAAATACAGATTGTTTTGCTCTTTAGTTTGCACTAAGTAAAAATATAGTTTATTGGCATGTTTGTTGAACAGTGGACACACTGTACTGTTGTTCTCAAACCTGTCCTGGTGGATAACCCATGTGATACTGAGTTGAATCAGGTGTGTTTGTTTAGGGAGACAAAGAAAACATGCAGTGTGGGGGTCCTCCAAGGCGGGTTTGAGACCCACTGATCTATATAATAAAAATAATATTAATAAACCTTTATATTTTTACAGGGACAGTTAGAACAACTTCTACTATCTCAGGAGGATGGTGATCATGTGTGAAATTGATTTTGTTAATGTGATTGGCACGCTGGGATTGCTGGGAACATATGGTAACAGATTACCATATGTTACTACATTTGATCTACAGTACCAGTAAGGATAAAATCTCCTGGGATGGGGAAATGTGGGTACTTTCCAGCAAAGTCACAGCATAGCTTATACATTCACCAAAAAGATGTTGTTGGAGGATGTAGGCAATGAATGGCCATGAAAATACTTTGGGTGATTATCAAACAATGCATTGCATAACCATTTCCTTTTGACATAATTGTTACATAATTTGTTGGCTTTATTATGACTATGCCTATACGAAAACAGAATTGTAACTTGATTCTTAGCCATACAATAATGACAGATATAGGGCCAGTTCAGCATAGTCCAAAATTGACCATGGCTGGACATGTTAATTTCTTTGCAACAAACTCTGTCAATATCTGTGCACAATTTTCATTTCATTTGGCCGTGCTGGCTGGTCCGTGCAGATTTGGCTACTATGACTGAAAGCAAACTAAAACACACACAAGGGGGTGTTTACACAACACTGTTTTCAACTAAAACTGAGAAAACGTTGTATGCGTTTTGGCATTTCAGGGGCCTGCATTTGCAAACTTTTTAAAATGGGTTTCAAAGTGCAGGTTTTTGAAAACGATACCATTATTGTCTTGGTGCAAACTACAAAAACATGAATTTGTGAAAACAGTGACATCATGCGCATGCATATTACGCCGATGTGTTCAGTCGCATGGTTTTTCTTTACAAAGTGGCATTGCCAACTACTAAGCAAGCATGAATATTACAAGTTTTAAATACTCAGGAAGAAAACTGGAAGTATCACCTTTAATCATAGAAGAGTCGCAAATGCGATGGCATATTGTGTTTAATATAGAAATTATTTATTATAAAAATGTACATATATTTTTTTCATACAGTGAAATTCATTTCTATATATATATATATATATATATATATGAAGAGTTCAGATGCAAAAGGATTTGCAAGAGTTCAGATTCAATTTGTGGTTAAAATGACACACAAGTACAGAAAATCGACCACCTGTTTGAATAAAATAAAGTGGAATAACAATCACCAATATCATGTTTTGTGTTTACTGCACATTTATCTCATTCTCTGTAAATGGCTATTCAAGTGCCTGTTTCGTTTTTTATATCTCGTCTTGATAAGCACTTTATATGTTTTGCTTAAAGAACTTAATTAATACATTTACAAAATTGCACCCTTCCGTTTAAGAAGCAACATGTGCACTTTTATTTTGGTTTTGGTGTGACGACGTCATAAAGGCTGCGCCGCTCTCATCTGTCTCTCAACCTTTTTTACAGTCTATGGACTCAGCACAGGTTTGTGTTTCTGAACGATTATGTATTTAAGATGTTAAAATCGATGTATTTTAAGTGAAGTGAAATTAATCAATTACATATTATTTTTAGTGATTACGTGTGGGTTGGGGAAATGATAGCCATGATGCCACGGGCTAAATTTACTGCATGGATATTTAGAAATAGTTCTTGACACACAAGTGACATATTTTTTCTTGTTTATAATTGCAATTATTACATTTAGACGCCAAAATGAAAATAATGTCATACTCACCCCATGTCGTCTTTTTCTGTGGAACATAAAATATATTTTACATCAGTATTAGTATGGTTTGTCCCGTAAATGGCTCATAAAACATGATGAGTGTTATTTGTCTGTAATTAAACTGCATTCATACTCGAGTAAATTTGGGTTTGATAGGCTGTATTCATTTAAATTTTCAACAATTTTCATTATTTTTTTTTCTCATACTTAATATCACCAAATATTCCAAAATACAGGAAAAACTCCTGCTGAAACAACTAAGATCACGTGACATCAAGATGGCGTTTATTAAAGAGGAGACTGAAGACATGAGAATTTCAGAACCATTCAGAATGACACATAAAGATGTTGAGAAACAAACAGGTTGGTTCTCAAATGTGAACTCTGTTATTTGTTTATTATTAAATTGTTGACATCTAAACGCATGTGATAATTTTGGGAAAAAAGCAGAATAAACCCACTGTCATTCACCATAGACACTGAAATACTGGGTTAAATCCAGATGTATACTCCTGTATGAGTTATACACCAATTTAAAAGATATCGAACACGAGTGTTCTTATGATACCAAAGTACTCTGAAATACTAGTAAAATTTCACAGTTCTCAGTACCCGTTTCAGTATATAGATAAAAAAATAACTATTAAAACTGTTTAATTATTATATTTAAGAATCTGACACATGCATTTCTGGTTTCAAAGTTTGTATTACCTATACTGATAAGTTAAGTCAGGAGTGTTTGATAAGGGAAATCAAACAAAATGTGTGTTGTTGGAGGTACTCGAGGGCCAAGATTGAGACCTGCTGTTCTAAATGATCATAAAATAACTGTTGCTGGTTTTTAAACTTGCTAATTATATAGTTTTATGTACAAGAACATAATAATCTGGTAGTTTTATCAGGTCTTAAAATTAGGTAAATACAACCTCAGGTAAACAACAATAAATTACATATTACACCAAGTCATTATTTATTTTAAGTCCCCCTGTGGTGAAAATCCAGTTTTAATGTTGTTTATATGTCTATGTGATGTTTTTTTAATATGCTTTAAGACAAACCATATACAAATGCATAAGTCAGCTCCATATCGCTGATGTTTCTCACCAATCACATCTATACTAGTGTACTCTAATACTATTGAGATACTACTGAGACAGGTGGGTATAGTTATAATCAAGATATTTTAAAGGGATAGTTTACCCAACAGTTTAAATTACCCCATGATTTACTCACCCTCAAGCCATCCTAAGTGTATATGACGTTCTTCTTTCAGACGAATACAATCGGAGTTATATTAAAAAATGTCCTGGCTCTTCCAAGCTTTATAATGGCCGTTTATGTTTTGAAGTCCATTTATTTTATCATGGTCCATCCTGGATAAAAATGCTCCACATGGCTCTGGGGGGTTAATGAAGGCCTTCTGAAGTAAAACAATGCATCAGTGTAAGAAAAATATCCATATTTAAAACTTTATCGCCTAAAATAACTAGCTTCCAGCAGACGGCGGTCAAGTGCGAGCGAGATAAGATGCAAGTAGCTAAACTTAACATTTTATATTTTACATTTTTTTTAGGTTATAAATGTTAAACGAATGACAAAAAAAAATAATCAGGCAAACTAATATAGTTGTCTATTTTCACAATTTTTAAATGAAAATAGGCCTATGCAATGTGACTCATGTAATGTAATAATTAGTTTACTGTCAGTGTGAGGGGATATGAAACATTAACAAAGCCATTTTCATCATGTTAGGCACAAGATTAATAATGAATGTGTACATATTGAGAATATAATACAAATTGTAGCCTTTAGTAAATTAATAAAGCTCAGCTTTAGGAGGGGAAGAGAAAGGGATAAAAAAAGAAAGAGTGATGGAGATTAGGAGCGAGCAGGTATTGACAAATAATCTACTGCCCACTGACATGGTTTTAAAGCTATTTCTTATCCTTTTTTGGTCTTCAAACGTCTTGAAATGCACATATCAGAAATAAAAAATGTGAACCCCCTACCAACTTCATGTTTAGGACCTCTTTGAGCTCCTGTCTACGGCCCTGTTTTAGGCATAAGATCAATAATGAATATGTAGCCTACATACTGTGAATGCATTTAAAAAACTTAATTACCGAGCTTTATTAGCTTTCAGTAAATAAAGGCATCTGAGAAAATCAGTTGACCCTATGTTTACTTTTTCACTGACAGACAAAAGTGAAAAGCCTTTATCAGTCAAAGCTCAGCTTTAGGAGGGTTCATTTTTTTATCAGAATTCATTTGGGTGCCCTTTCTTTTTCACATGACTGTAGCTATTTGATGTCTTTTGCTTTGTGGCATTAAACTGTGGTTAACTCTTTTTTCACCTTTTAGACCTGATGCAGCTTAAAGACGAGAGTCCAGAACTGAATGAAATGGTGGACAAAGTACAGTATGAGAAACATGATTTCATAACTGAAGATGAAAATTGCTTGCAGACTGACAATTCTTCCTCACAAAAAAGAGGTGAGGAGACTGGATCTAAAAGATCTTTTGCCTGCGAACAGTGTGGAAACTTTTTCTCTACAGCAGGAAACCTTAAAATCCATATGAGAAGTCATACTGGAGAGAAGCCTTACACATGTGATCAGTGTGGAAAGAGTTACACACGAAGCAACACCTTAAAGGATCACATGATGGTTCACACTGGAGAAAGGCCTTTCGAATGTGATCAGTGTGGAAAGAGTTACACGCGAAACAAGACCTTAATGGTTCACATGAGGATTCACACTGGAGAAAGGCCTTACACATGTAATCAGTGTGGAAAGTGTTTCATACGAAAAGACAACCTTAATTTACACATGAAAATTCACACCAGAGAGAACCATTTTATATGCCATCAGTGTGGAAAGAGTTTCAAAGACATTGAACACCTTAACAGGCATGTTATAATTCACTCCGAAGAGAAGCCCTTCAAATGTCCCCAATGTGGAAAGAAGTTTAAAATTAGTAAAAACATTAAGGCACACATGAGAAGTCACAGTGAAGAGAAGCCTTTTAAGTGTCATCAATGTGAAAAGGGTTTCCTAATAAATAAGGACCTCATAAGACACATGAGAAGTCACACTGAGGAGAGACCTTTCAAGTGCCATCAATGTGGAAAGGGATTAAAACATGAAGAATCACTTGCTTACCACATGAAAATTCACACCGGAGAGAAGCCTTTCAGCTGCTCTCAGTGTGGAAAGAGTTTCATACATAAAGGACAGCTTAATGCTCACATGAGAGTTCATACAAGAGACAACAATTTTAAATGCAAGCAATGTGGGGAGTGTTTTAAAGACAAGGATCTCTTTAAAATGCATAGAAAAGCTCACTTCCAAGAGAAGCCTTTCCCCTGTCTTCAGTGTGGAAGGAGATACAATCTCATAGGACGCCTTAAGAGTCACATGAGATCTCACGAGGGGGAATAGCCTTTCACCTTTTTTCGCCATGTGGAAAGTGGTTGATGCACAACGGACACCTTAGTTTTCACATGAGAATTTATAAAAAGAGAGAACGATTTAATATGTCAACTGTAAAGAGTTTTACAGACCAAAAACAACTTAAAAGGCACTTGCATATTCACAGAGGAGAGAAGCTTTTATATTTTTCTAAACATTTGTGTTTAACAGAAGAAAGAATGAAACTCATACAGTTTCGGAACAATATGAGGATGAGTAAAGGATGACAGAATTAATATTTAGCGAAATTATTAATTACTCACACTCATGTCTTTCCAAATCATGACTTTCATTCATATTTGAAACACATATGAGAATTGTTTTTAAATGCAATCTGCATTTTTTCAATGGACAGAAATCTCTCAAATATCATTAAAAATGAAAAATGCAATAAAGGGAAATCTATTTTTAAAAAAGGCAACAAAATCTATTCACTAATTCCTGAATTTTCTTTCTTGTACATTTAACATTTTTTAATGGTTATTTGTATGCATTTTTATGTAGCAGGGCAATGTGAAACATTTGAATAATGATTTTGGTAAAGCTTGGGTAAAAAAAATTGAACCCATTATATTTTAAAAATAAAACGGAAGATCACCATGTTAAGGAGAAATGAACAACAGTTTTGCCACTTTGTCCCTTTCAAAGCATACCAGTTAATAAATTATCAGTGTATGTATACATATATGAAATTTACTTTTATTTTGGTCTGGTGTCATGACATCATAAGGCTGCACTGTACCGCTCTCCCCTGGTTCGGACTGTAAAAAAGGTTCAACAGAGGTTTGAGGTTTTTGAACGCTCGAGAATTTAAGGTATTTAAATCTTAACAAATCGTTCAGTCTTATATCGTAACTTTTATGAGGTGCCGTGTGACGCTTTACAGTTCAGTTTTCAGTTATGGATAGCCTAGTTGCCGTTGTCTCGTTCAATTTCCAAGTTGTGACTTTAGAAATGATTAATGAATTATATGTTTGTGTCGAAGAACTGAACTATAAAGAGTATATATGAACTGATAGTTTGTCTCTTAAATGGCCCCAGATTGCTTACCATTTAATTTAATTTTCATTTATCAACACAATCAGCTGACAACATTTTGTTTTTAAATGCATAATTCTAGAATTCACTTTACAATTACATTTTTTTTAATTACATATATTGCTATTTGTAGACAGTCTTTTATGTACATATGGACGGTCTGTGATTTTAGGCTGTATTTTCAGAGGACTTTTATTTTGTCTGGTGTTATGACATCATAAGGCTGCGCCGCTCTCTGACTTCACAAAGGTTTGAGTTTTTTGAATGCATAAATATTTGAGGTGTTTAAATTGATAAACATCGTTCAATATACTCAAAGTTTTTACAAGTAATGTGAAATGAATGGATATTGTGCGAGTTTTCGTGCGATGCTTTACAGTTCAGTTTTCATTTAACCGTTAACGTTAACACTTGCCGTTTTCCGTCACTTCAGAACTTACTATTTAATCACATTACACCCATTTTATTTGTATATTTTGTCTGAAAACTGAACTAAAGCATTAACGTTACATGAACTGGTAGGTTGTTTTGTAAATAGCTATTTTAAGAGATATCTGCAAGTGCATTATTATGAATAAAGTTAGAAATTATCTTTTTTTCCCCTTCTATTTATTGTTTTCCTCATTTTTAACATGGGAAATGTCCAGACATACAGGAACAACAAACAATTGGTGAAACCTGAGAGATCCATGTGACGGTTTTCCAAGATGGCATTTATTAAAGAGGAGACTGAAGACATAAGAATTTCAAAACCATTCAGAGTGAAACATGAAGATACTGAGGAACAAAAAGGTTAGTTTTCAATTTTGAACTCAGATACTTATTTTTCATTTTTAAAATGTTGACATGTAAGCAAATAGTTTTCAAAAGTCTTGTAAATTGACAATCTGAACATATGAAGATATATTAAAGAATATGTCAAGTCATGAGTGCCACAATTAAAGCTGATTAGCTAAAAAAAATATATATATATATATATATATATATATATATATATATATATATCATAGACTCCAAAACTGTGTTTGAAATCGCCCCCTATACCCTCATTTGCTATTACCTACATTACTCCACTAAAATAGTAGTCCACTTGAAAGAGTTGATGAAAATGAGTGAGTAAATTTGGACACTGAGTGTACTGGAAGGCCTGCCGATTTTGCATAGTTTGTGCTTGCTGTTTAATAAATGATGTTTTAATAACAAATGCTGCGTCCCAATTCAAATACTATCCGTCCCAAATCGTTGTATGTTGAAATGAGTGTTTCAAAGATACCCGGATGGTCTACTATTTCCGGTCAGAATCCGAAGTGTAGATCGATGCACACTCTATGGGTGGGATATTGCCCACAACCCATCGCGCGTTGGACAAGTATTCGGTTAGAACTACACACACACACGAGTGAAAAGTGTTAAGAAACTAGATGGAGGTCGCGTGAGTCCTGCGGTTATGTAGAGAGGTTTTGGGAGTAATTATCAGTATCTAACCTGACAAATGAATTTATTCAATGTTGTCCACATTATATTGCATCTGCAGCAGCTTTGTGAATTTTTGTAAAGATATGTTTAGCCATTACCTTTTAAATGCATCATTATATTCAAGTTGCAAACACGTGGAGAGTATCTGCATGAAACACCCACGACTGACAGATGAACGTGCTCTCCGAAATGGCAGGAAATCAAATTAGATTGAATGGAGGATTTTAACTGTGACAAGATGATTGACAGGATGCACGCAGCACGCCACAGAGCTGTCCGTTAAAGATGGTGTGATAGTATGTCCTAAAGCTTGCCTACTCTTTAGCTACACACTCAAAAGTATGTACTTTTTCTTGACAAAAAGAGTACATACTTTTAGGGCGTAGCATAAGTAAGCGAATTGGGACACAGCAAAAGTTCGGGAGGAGCATGTTTAGTTAATTAACACGAGTGGAGAGCACTCAGCAATCAATGATAAGAGGTGTATAGACGTCATGCCATTTGGCGCAGCCATCTTGAGGGAATAGAAAAAGCTGGTGATAATACAGCTCGTCGCAAAATATTACTATCATCCCCGAGCTTTGCTGTGCAGTTGGATGTGATCAGATACGTGATCAAACAAAAGAAATATCTTTATACCGGAAGCTGATCTTGTATTTATTTGACATTTCTTCAAACACAGGTTGAGAAAGACAGTTTATCATACTACAGTGACAGTCAGTGTCACTGTAGTATGATAGTTACAGTGTAAAAAAGTATATAGGCATATTATTTCGTTGTTCTTGGATCAAACTAGATTCAACTAATTCATTTAAGATACACTTACATACACATGTACATACATGCGTAAGATACACATCTTGGTGGTGATTTTGTTTTGTGTTTTCCCCTATTAACTCAGTTTAAAAATGATTACAGGTAGGCCTACTATATTCATTTGGTGATAAAAATACAGTGATCAACCTTTCCGTTGATGGTTGAAAAATCCTTTCCTGCTGGAGTCCAAATCAAAGTGTTGCTGACCCATCCGAACTTGTGATACCGAGAAAGTTAGCCTGCTAAGTTTTTGTATGCTTTTAATGAAGCTCCGGTGTAGCGTGATGGGAAGTGAATAAGGTAGCTATAAAAGTCACCAAACTCAATGTCAGAAAGTTTTTCTACACATTTAATGCCTGTAAAAAGAATTTGTGGTGCTTGATATGGATCTATTATTCCTAATTCCTTTTTCCTTGTAGGCCCTATAGGCTATTTCTTTTTGTGATGCGAAAAAAAAAAAAAACGATTCTGTTCAGTAACTATATATTTCGTGCATGCGATTATATCAATACTGTAGCGCAAAGTATTGCAATATTTAGGCTAATTATAAAAATAATTATAATACAAGTATAAATGAAGAGTTCAGATGCAAAAGCCTCTAAGTGCCATTGAAATTTTCTTCTAGAATGATAATTCTTTATCAAACTTGTATATTTAAGTTCAGTAATTTCACTTAAATGGCAATGAAGATTACCTATTAATTGTCATTTAAGTGAAATTACTGAACTTAAATATACAAGCTTGATAAAAATTACCTGTATGATAATACGCTGGACCAGCACGGATTGGAAAATAAATGGACGATTTGATTTAAGCTGTAGGCGCCATCTCCTGGCGAGACGCGGGAATTCATCCAGTACGTGACTGTCACAGTGCATAATGGGTGTGGGATTGAATGAGTGAAAGAGATTGAATGGTTTCGGACACCTACAAATGGCTGTCCTCTCAAATAGTGCCCTATTTAAGGGTATAGGCGGGCAATTTCAGACACAGCCCAAGACCTGAAATGGGTGGCAGACAAAGGAGACATATTACATGAGTCTCATTCAGCTCTTGAATCAGTATATCGTGTACTTGAATTCAGGCACTGGTAAGGATGGTAAAGGACCCTGGCTGACTATTCATTGGGACATTGATAATGCTGTTTCTGGCAACCTGACAACATCCTCATTCATTGCATCACTACTGGTATTTTTGAACAACAGCAGAACTGATATCTTTCTCACATTATTTTTTAATATCATTTAAAGTACATTATGATTAATACTTGTTGTTACATATACCTGCAACATTTCAGGTGTAAATGAATTATAAATATTAGCAAGATTATGTTCTTTAACTGTTCAGTCAACATGACATCATGACTTTTGCGTAAACATACACGCCACTTTCAAGTCAAGTGGCGTGTTGTCTAAATGTCAGAGCGAAACGAAGCAAAATGTACATCTACATCTGGGGAGCGATATTTTTTTTTTTAACTAGGATGGTAGGGGAAGACTCATAAATCGTATTAACCCCAGTGACGGGTAGGTTTAGGGATGGGGTTAAGTCATACATTTATATATACAGTAATAACGTTAAGTCAACGGCGTTCATAAACATGCTAAAAATGATTGTGCGTGTTGATGGCATGCCAAAATGGAAATACGAATTGGAGTGTGATACATGCGCCATTTCAAGAGATCAGTCTGGTTTAGTGATGATTGTTTATGCTAAAACGGGAACATGGCTGGGAACCCCTGATATAAATTGTCATAAAATTATCACTGCTGCGGGTATCTACACTTGCTAATTTCCATTAATAGGATGACAGAATTAACCTTTAGCACATTGAATACAAATAGTTGTTTGATGCCTGTTGCTTTGGGGATAACTTGAATTTTTCTGATTTCTCCATTCAGACCTGATGCCGCTTAAAGAGGAGAGTCAAGAACTGAATGAAATAGAGGAGACACAATTGTTTGAGAAACATGATTTCATAACTGATGATAAACTTAGCTCACAGCCTGAACAGTATTTCTCACAAAAAAGAAGCAAGGGGGCAGGATCTAAAAGATCTTTCACCTGTCAAGAGTGTGGAAAGTCGTACACTACAGCACAAACCTTTAAATACCACATGCAAATTCACACTGGAGATAAGAATTTTACATGTGATCAGTGTGGAATGAGTTTCATACGTAAAATCACCCTTGATTTCCACATGAGACTTCACTCAGGAGAGAAGCATTTTATATGCCATCAGTGTGGAGAGAGTTTCACGTCTGTGAAACACCTGAACATTCACATGATAATGCACTCCAGAATGAAGCCCTATGATTGTTACCTATGTGGAAAGGTGTTCAGATTTAAAAAGGGCCTAAGGGAACACTTGAGAAGTCACACTGCGGAGAAGCCTTTCCGAAAAGAGAACGCTTTGAAATGTACTCGGTGTGAGAAGATTTTTACACAGAAGAAACTCTTTAACATACATAAAAATAGTCACCCTGAAGAGCAGCATTTCTCCTGTCCTGAATGTGATACGAGTTTCACATCTAAAGGAAACCTTAAGACTCACATGAGGATTCACACTGGAGAGAGACCTTACACCTGGGAAGATTTTCATACATAAAGGACACCTTAAGTATCACATGAAAATTCACAAAAGAGTGAATGATTTAAAGCCTGGGACACTTGCGGGTCGGTCGCCTGTGGTTGAGAGATCAAGCATTAACGTTTTTATTTTTATTTTATTTTAATAAAGCCACTGAACTTGGTAAAACGCAACAAATGTGTGCCACTCTTTTACTTTTTTCCAACAAAGCATATCTCTTCAACATCAATGCTAAAACATACACGTATTGAATATACAAGGTTAACAGAAATTATTCTATTATTAAATTAAATTAAGTGTTTTCCAACATTATGATGGAAATATTAATGTGTTTGTAAGCTTAATTATCATCAGGCTCTAATTTGCATACTCTCAAGCAGCAATGGAGGAAAAACATATCAGAGACAAATTTCAGGTGGATGATTTAATTTTAACATGAATTTTGGGTGACTTTAGAGCTGACGTGTCTCTGATCCACGATTCTATTTCAATTATTTAAGAGGTACAAGTATCTAATGAATAGAGCTAAGTACTAGTATCTTTTAGAAAGGCACTACCTAAAGAAGAGAATATAGTTACATAACGTATAGTTGTCAGTACACTCAGGCTTTTCTCTGGGTTATACTATGGGTAATACTAGTCGGTTACAAGATTTCAGTTTAAACGATAATGAAATTAGTTAGTTGCCAACTCCATGCCTTTAGGGGCTCTGTAAAACTTCTGTCATGGCACAGGGAAGGACATTTTTTATTTCATTTCCACTTAGTATTCAATATTATAATATAATGATTTATATTAATATATTGATATTATATTAATATAATATTATAATATAATGAATATATAATCATTGAGTGCCCTCGGTTGTTTTCGGGGTATAAATGGTTTCTTCACCAAATCGTAGAAATGTTGCTTTAAGACAAAATCTAGAATTTCAGATATTGGGCTCATTCGATCATTAGCCTTTTTTCAGCACATCATCTGACAACATTTTGTTTTTAAATACGTTGGCTATTTCAAGAATTTACTTTACATTTCCACTCTGAATGTCGTTGACATAATATTTGTCTGTAGTCTTTTATGCATGTACATTTTTGAGCATTTTCTGTGATTTTAGGCAGTATTTGTGGACGGGACTTTTATTTTGGTCTTGTGGAATGACATCATAAGACTGGACCGTTCTCCTCTGTCTCAACAAAGGTTCGAGTTTTTTAACGCCTAAGCATTTGCTGCGTTTAAATTGATACAAATCGTTAAATGCATTAATAATATGTAAACGAATTATAATATGTGGTGCCGTGTTAAGTTCAGCTTTCAGTTATTGGATAATTGCCGTTTTTCTCTTGTCTTTTAATTTTCCTTTTTCTAAATCGTGTCTTCAGTAATGATTATTTAATTATATTATACCCGTAAGAGGTAAGACTTTGCATGAACCCTGTTAGCTTGTCTATTAAATTGCTCGTTTATGATTATTTGTCTGTGAGTAAAGTGCATTCATACGCGAGTAACATATAAGCTTTGGGTTTATATTTTATATTTCATTCTGTTAATTGTCTCCTCATATTAAACATGAAAAAATGTCCAAACATGCAGGAACAAGAAACAGTTTTCAAGATGGCATTTATTAAAGAGGAGACTGAAGACATAAGTATTGCAGAACAATTCAGAGTGAAAAATGAAGATGCTGAGGATCATACAGGTTGGTTCAAAAGTAATTTATTTATTTGACCTCTAAACAAACTATTTTTGTTTTAATGATGCAGGTTAATTGTGTTGTGCTCATGTTGTCTATGTATTTCATTCACTCTTGAGTGAATGATGTGAAGTCCTCTGAAGTGTGTGACGTGTTTAGATATTACAAGCTGTTGACCACTGGTCCTTCCTTGTAGCTCTCATCTGCTAAATGTCACCTATCATCTCCACAGTTTGATCGAAAATTTCAGATCCAATGAATTCACTTAAATTGCTCTTTACACAGAGTAATAGTTCCTTTTCAAAAGAGAATCTTTTTATACCTTTTAGGTTCTAAGTTCTAACCATTGGGTTCTACATGTAGTCTAATACAGTATGTAGCTATTAGTTAAAGCTGCAGTCTATAGCTTTTTTTGGGGATAAAAATTATCCAAAATTTATATTTGAGAAAATGCATAACCAGCCAGTGTTCAAAACTATCTGCTTGCCTTTGCTCGATTCTACAGAAGCGTATTGCATTTACTTGAGGAAAAATAATCTACTCCGTTTTTCTGAATTAACGAGTTAATTATCTTAGAATTACGATTACGAAGAATTACATGATTCATGGAAAAAAGTTTTTGCTCTGTTTTTCTGAATTAATGACTTGATTATCTAAAAAAATATGAGTAACTCATTAATTCATAAAAACAGAGTGAAAAAAAAATGTTTTTCAAGAAAATATACAGTATATCTTATAATTCTGAGATAATTAACTCATTAATTCAGAAAAACAGAGTAGATTTTGTTTCCTCAAGTGAATGTGAATGCAATATAGTTTATACAACTCACATAAAGTTGATAAATCCGAGTAGTTGCAGATTTCGAACAGAGATGGCGACAAAGATGAAAAACGCCGGACTGCGAACTTTAACATACTAGTATGTACTTTTAAGGCAATATGCACTGTTTAGGTACTGAGGTGTATCTTTTGAATAGGTGCTTCCACCGTGACAGCTTTTGTAACTGTTTTCTGTGAGTGTCAGGAAACCTGACACTGAAATTTATTGAAATTAAGAGTTTGGGGGTTCTTCATTCCCACCTGTTTTTTTTGTTTGTTTTTTTGTTTTTTTAACCTGTAACTTTCAAAAACTTATTTCAAAGCCATCGCATTATTGACTTTATGGCGCTCAACCATCCAAGTACACAGATGGTCGACACTCTCAACAGGTAATATTCTTAAAATGACTATACATTTTAAATGTCAAATTTTAACTGGTTTCCTAGAAAACATGCTGTCATTTGTTTCTTAGTTTTTAAACAGAGCACGTAAGTGTGACAAGATTGGTTCAGTTGATGATACTTCTCTCTCCTCTTCTCCACTAAGCAAGTAAGTGACAGAGATATTGGATTTATAATTCATTCTGTTTGAGGATTTTCAATTATTACGTGGGTCCCTTGCAAATGCCTAGTCCACATAAAACATTAAATCTATCCCATGATGTTGTATCTCTTTATTTTAACATTACTAAAAGTAATAACATTCACAACAGCTACTTTTGACCCAAATGCTTTTACTTAAATGGCAGTGTGACTAAACTCATTTGTGTTTTTCAGACAGATGCTGTCACACCCCATCATCTGGAGAGAGAAGCTGCCACTCAGTTACACCAAAATACATAATGATGGATATAGAGACATCACAGATGACTAAATATATATTTCATTTGTCATTGTTCTATTTAACCATGTTAAGATGTGAGACCATTTATTCAGCTAATTGCATGGTTCATTCAAGGTGGTTAAAGTGCTTGAAGTATTTGAGTTTGACTATGTATAATTAGTGTTTAATTTTTGTATCACAATTACAATCTTTTCACATAAAATTAATGCTGCAGGCCATTTGATATAGATACTGAGCCATTTTGCATGGCTATGAGCATAGTATTGCTCATATGTTTCCAAGCTTTCATTTTTCATATCAATCAAAAAAAAAATCACTTTGAATGAAGAAAGCGGTATCTTTGTCATAGTATTCTAACGCAGGTCAATGGATTGATCTCTGTGAACCCTGGAGCAGCTTTGCTTGTCCTTGTTAAAGTTTCCAGAATGAATCTACTAACTTTTCGGTCTTAAAGTCAGTCCCTTGTCACCTCCTAATGGCGTAATATGTAACCTCTACTGAAGTTGTTGATAAACCGCCATCAGTTTCTCATATAAACACAAACGCTGTACAAACCCTGTAATCACTGTTAGAGCATTGTCATTTTTTTTCTACAATTTCCTTTGTCAAAAAAATAAAAAATAAAGCACTTAATTGAAACAACTTGTCAGTTTAAGTCCCCAATAAAGTATAAGATCAGACATATTTATATAATAATAATTAATTATTTCACTTTCAAAAGTGTGGTTTGTAAAAAAGGGTTCTGCTATATAATCCAATTTTGGACCAGTGATCTAAAGGACCATAAAATAACTGTTGCCGGTATCTAGGCTTGGGGTGGCGATGGCGCAGTGGATAAGACACATGCCCTTGGTGTGAGAGACCGGGGTTCGAATCCACTGTGTGACACCAATGTGTCCCTGAGCAAAACACTTAACCCCTAGTTGCTCCAGAGGCGTGCGACCTCTGACATATATAACAATTGTAAGTCGCTTTGGATAAAAGCATCAGCTAAATGAACAAATGTAAATGTAGACTTGCTTATTTGCCATTAATAATATAATTTGACTGTATTTAATTACTCAATGGGAAATATGAATAATTACTTAACTAATTATAATTAATTAAAAATATTTAGATCCGCTGTGAGAATGGTGGCACTTGAGTTTGGGTCCAGTTCTTACTATTAAGTTGATAATTAGCAAGCATATTGGCTGTTTTATTAGCATGAATAATGCACAAAATTGAGGCCCAGAAGGAAGAAAAGGAATAGTCGAATAAAGTCGTTATTTTTGTTTTGGTTTTTTTTTTTTCGCACAAAAAGTATTCTCGTTGTTTGATAAACTTATAGTTGAGCCACTGTAGTCACATGGAATATTTAAACATTTTCTTCAATGACTTTCTGGGCCGTCAAGTTTCAATCCCTTAGGGTGGTAGTGGTCCAGCTCTCAAATTTTATCAAAAATATCTTCATGTGTGTTCCAAAGGCGAACAAGGGTCTTATGGGGTTGGTACAGCATGGGGTGAGTAAATAATGACTTAATTTTCATTTTTGGGTGAACTAACCCTTTAATGCCTTAAAAAAAGTGAGAAAAAAATCCAATCTTTAAGGACATCAATTTTCTTTCCTGTCAAATCAATGTTCTTCCTTAAAATACAGGGTGCATAATTCAGGACACCCCTATGTTAAATTCCCTTAGAGGCAGGCAGATTTTTATTTTTTAAGGCCAGTTATTTCATGGATCCAGGATAATATGCATCCTGAAAAAGTCCCCTTGTCCTTTGGAATTAAAATATACCCACATCATTACATACCCTTCACCATACCTAGAGATTGGCATGGGGTACTTTCCATAAGATCATCTCTCGATGCAAATCAAACCAGCTATTAGGCTAACTAAAAGTAAAACCATGCCAATCTCTTGGTAAAGTAGATGGTTTTTATGAGAGTCTCTGCGTACAGTCCATGTGATGCACATTTTGTCACCAGAATATGAGCATTCTGTATGCACGCTGCCTGATTTTTGTATGTTATGATGTTACTCAGTGCGGTTAAACTGGGTTAACGTGAATTGTTGTTTTATTTCACCATAGACCTGGTGGTGATGAAAGTGGAGAGTCAAGAACTGGATGAAATGGAGGAGGAAGATCATCTTGAAGAAACCCTTTGCTCAAAGACTGAACGGGCGTCCTCACAAAAAAGAGCTCGGAAGGCAGGCTCTAAAAAGTGTTACATCTGTCCTCAGTGTGGCAGGAATTTCACTTATGAAAAAAGCCTTAAAAAACACGAGGCAAATCACACTGGACAATGCCCTTTTACATGCCAACAGTGTGGGAACATTTTCACTACAAATGGAAGCCTTAAAAACCACATGAGAGTTCACACTGGAGAGAAGCCTTACACGTGCGATCAGTGTGGAAAGAGTTACACACGAAGCAAGACCTTGAGGGACCACATGAGGATTCACACTGGAGAAAGGCCTTACACATGTAATCAGTGTGGGAAAAGTTACATACGAAGCAAGACCTTGAGGGATCACATGAGGATTCACACTGGAGAAAGGCCTTACGCATGTGATCAGTGTGGAAAGAGTTTCATACATAAAGTGACCCTTAATTTACACATGAAAATTCACTCCAGAGAGAACCATTTTATATGCCATCAGTGTGGAAAGAGTTTCAAAGACATTGCACGCCTTAACAGGCATGTGATAATTCACTCCGGAGAGAAGCCCTTCAAATGTCACCAATGTGGAAAGGGGTTTCAAATAAGTAACAACCTTAAGGCACACATGAAATGTCACACTGAGGAGAAGCCTTTCAAGTGCCATCAATGTGGAAAGTGTTTAAAACATGAAACATCCCTTAACTACCACATGCGACTTCACACTGGAGAGAGGCCTTTCACCTGCCCTCAGTGTGGAAAGAGTTTCATTCTTGAAGGACAGCTTAGTCGTCACATGCGATATATTCACACGGATGAGAAGCCTTTCGTGTGCCATTACTGTGGAAGGATTTGTGAAAGCAAATCAAACCTTAAGATTCACATACAAATTCACACTGGAGAAAAGCCTTTCTCCTGCCCTCAGTGCGGAAAGAGTTTCATTCATAAAGGACTCCTTAATTATCACATGAAACTTCACACTGGAGAAAAGCCTTTCAGTTGCCATCTGTGTGGTATGAGTTTCAGATATAAAGGACTTCTTAATGGTCACATGAGAAGTGTGCACACCAATGAGAAGCCTTTTACCTGTCATCACTGTGGAAGGATTTGTGAAAGCAAATCAAAACTTCAGATTCACATGCGAATTCACACTGGTGAAAGGCCTTTCTCCTGCCCTTGTGGGAAAAGCTTCGCACTTAAAGGAAACCTTACGGCTCACATGAGACTTCACACTGGAGACAGGCCTTACATGTGTGTTCAGTGTGAGAAGAGTTTTGCTTATCTAAGGCAGCTTAAAAGTCACTTGCAAACTCATTTTGGAGAGAAGTCGCAGTGTTCTGAGTGTGGCAAGAGGTTTGCAAAGATGAGCAATTTCCAAAATCATCTGCGCATTCACTCTGGACCAAGGCCATTTAATTGTAATCGGTGTAATAAAACGTTTATTTTGCCATCACACTTAGAGATACACCTGAAAAGTCATGCAGACAAAAGACCCTATTTGTGTTCTCGGTGTGGAAAGAGTTTTAAATGGCTCTGCAATTTAAGATCGCATCGGAGATTTCATGTCTGTGTGAAACCTAATTCCAGAGCAAGCTACTTGAAACGGAAGAAACAAATCCATACTGGAGAAAAACCTCACATCGTAACAAGTGACTTTCATGGGGACAATGTGATGGCGCCTTAATTGTGTTAAACAAAGCTGATGTGTTATTGTGCTACAATGTGTCATGGGTGAACATTTCCAATATTGTTGTAGTGGAGGTACTGTATCACTTTTATTCATTTTGTATCACCAAGTAAATAGTTTTACTTTCGTCATGGCTCATCTCTAGAGGCAGGTTGTGATGTGGCCCATTAAAAAATTCATCCACTTAAATACATAGACTTTTATATAAACTTCTATATCAATCCTAAATTTAACTCATAAATGTGTTCAGCATTCTGCAACACATTTTTAGTTTCTAGACTATTTTAAGTCATAAAGTAAGATGTATGTATTAAAATGTCTTGTATGGCTTCAGTTTAGTCTACATCATTTCAGCAACTAGTAAGTCTGATTGTGAACCTGTTCAGTGTTCTTTACCAGGAGGCAGGAGGATGTGTGGAGCAGTGTACTAAATTAGTGAATGTGTAAACCCTTTGATTTAAACGTGCTCATGTTAAGAAAGGCTGCTCACTGTGGAGCCGACAGTTGGAGCTTCACGTCCAGCTCTCTCTCTCTCTGGATTTAATGGGTGGAGCTAGAAGTTCCAACCACACCCTAACCTTACCAATAACCCTATCCCCTAACATTAATCATTACCCTATCCCCTAACCTTACCCATAACCCGATCCCATAACCCTATCCCCCAACATTACTCATTACCCTACCCTCTAACCTTACCCATAACCCTATCCTCTAACCTCACCCATAACCCTGTCCCCTATATATCCCTATCCTCTAACCTCACCCATAACCCTGTCCCCTAACCTTACCTATAGCACATCCCCTAATCTTACCCATAACCCTATCCTCTAACCTCACCCATAACCCTGTCCCCTATATATCCCCATCCTCTAACCTCACCCATAACCCTGTCCCCTATATATCCCTATCCTCTAACCTCACCCATAACCCTGTCCCCTATATATCCCTAGTATCCTCTAACCTCACCCATAACCCTGTCCCCTAACCTTACCTATAGCACATCCCCTAATCTTACCCATAACCCTATCCTCTAACCTCACCCATAACCCTGTCCCCTATATATCCCCATTCTCTAACCTCACCCATAACCCTGTCCCCTATATATCCCTATCCTCTAACCTCACCCATAACCCTGTCCCCTAACCTTACCTATAGCACATCCCCTAATCTTACCCATAACCATATCCTCTAACCTTGCCCATAACCCTGTCCCCTATATATCCCCATCCTCTAACCTCACCCATAACCCTATCCTCTATCCTCACCCATAACCCTATCTTCTAACCTTACCTATAACCCTTACCCATAACCCTATCCTCTAACCTCGCCCATAACCCCATCCCCTAACCTTACCCATAACCCTATCTCCTAACCTTACCCATAACCCTATCCTCTAACCTTGCCCATAATCCTATCTCCTAACCTTACCTATAACCCTGTCCCCTAACCTTACCCATAACCCTATCCCCTAACCTTACCCATAACCCTATCCTCTAACCTTGCCCATAATCCTATCTCCTAACCTTACCCATAACCCTATCATCCAACCTTGCCCATAATCCTATCTCCTAACCTTACCTATAACCCTACTCTCAAACCTCGCCCATAACCCTCTCCTCTAACCTCACCCATAACCCTCTCCTCTAACCTCACCCATAACCCTATCTCCTAACCTTAGCCATAACCCATAACCCTATCCCATAACCTTACCCATAACCCTATCCCCTAACCTTACCCATAACCTTATCCCCTAACATTACTCATTACCCTAACCCCTAACCTTACCCATAATACTATCCCCTAACCTTACACATAACCCTATCCCCTAACCTTACCCATAACCCTATCCCCTAACCTTACTTATAACCCTATCCCCTAACCTTACTTATAACCCTGTCCCCTAACCTTACTTATAACACATCCCCTAATCTTACCCAGAACCCGATTCCCTAACCTTACCCATAACCCTATCCCTAGTCTCAGCCTCAGACGTCACACCTACAGACCATTGGCTGAACGTCTGATGCATATAGAACACAAAATGGGAAACACTTCAGACGTTTTGAATTCTTCATCATCTGAATTCTACAGGATTTCCTGGAGACTATATCTTTAATAGTCCACATGGCATCAAAACTATCATGATGCCAAACCCCCTCAAGGAAGAGGAAAGCTGTCTTGTTTACAACTGTGACAATGAGCGATTACCAGGACCAACTAAGGATTTTCAAATGTATGTATGGTTCGCATTTCCATTGTTGCTGTAAACTTGGACAACATTCTTGAATGAATACTTTATTAGATGCTGGACTGTTATTGCAGTTATTGGCCAATGAAAGCTGCGATGAACTCCAGACCTTCTGCTGTCAGTCTGAATGTCTGGATATGTGAGACTACCCTATCCTTAAAAATAAATAGGTCAAAATCCACCCATTATGTCCAAAGAGGGGGATCTAGATGTCACTTGACTCTGTGAGCAGTCACTTGCATGTGAATAGCTTGTAAACTATACGGTTATGTTTGTTTTATATTTGTTGCATCTATATCATCTCTTCTCAATTCCTAACATTCTATATCAACATTTGAACGCAATAAATACTAGGCTACATTAAGGTCATTTTAAGACAACATTTTATGTGTGTGTGTGTGTGTGTGTGTGTGTTTATAGCCCGTCAATCAACATTACAGTGCAAGGTCAACAAGACATCTGGCTAAAGTGAGTTTGCATGTTTTCAGCAATTAGAATGTAAAACGTACATCACATGATAATCACAATTATATATTAATTATGTAATATTAGTTAACGCTATGAGCCAGTGACTGCCTCAGTTAAATTCATGGCCAGGAGCAGCTACTTACTCATGAGTGTTTACATCATCTCCTTAAACAGTCAATTGTCTGGCTCTACCTACTGAAAATTGTCAATTACAAATCACACCAGAATCTTCAGGTCATGAGAGAACCATCTGACTTATTTAATGCTGCTTAACTACACAGTGAAATGAAAAACAAAACTTCAAAAATAGCCAAATGAATTAAAAAAGCATTGAAAAGAAACCAAAAGAAAACACCAAAAATTATACATTGACAATCCCAAGCAGCTTGTTTCACTCTCAGATGGACACAATAGTAACATTCCAATATATTACCCATTCCCATTCCCATTACCCAATATTATTACCCAAGTACTCCTCAAGTCCATAGACAACTTAGGCAACCACATAAAGCATGACTTATCTGTTTGACTCCAAAGATGCATGAAAGACCAAGTCCAAGTCTCTGCTGAATTTTGTTTGAAAAGTCTGATGTCCAAGCAATAGTAGTAGAATAAATACAATCCAAAAATGGTGTATGGAAGAAATCAGAAATCAGAATCCAATGTGTCCCATGCAGTAGTGGAGGCCCTCTCACAATCAAATCTCCCCATGACACCTGTCCTCACTACTTCTTCTCTGCCTCTTTTAAGAAAACACTTCCTAGACAACATTCTCCCCGATGACCCCTAGTGGCCTGGGAGAAAATTACCCCGTGCGTGCGTGCGTGTGTGTGTGTGTGTGTGTGTCTGTGCGTGCGTGCGTGCGTGCGTGCGTGTGTGCGTGCGTGTGTGTGTGTGTGTGTGTGTGTGTGTGTGTGTGTGTGTGTGTGTGTGTGTGTGTGTGTGTGTGTGTGTGTGTGTGTGTGTTTAAATTGACAAAGCCACTAAACAGATCTGATTTGGATATGCTCTTTAGCTATTCTAAGCAAGGCTTGAAAATTGCTTTCTACCACAAAAATCCTTAGTCATTTCTAGATTTTTACTATTTTTGCATGTAGGCTAAATTGTACTCATTCTGTAGCCTATCAATAAAACAAAAACTGTATGTATATGAACTCATCTGGCAAATCAGGAAAATATATCAGGTTTAAAACAAACAAGGTTTGGATTTTCAGTCAGTTTTCATTGCCTATGGCACATTGGTTTCATTGTTCTTACAACAATGAAAACTGCAGTAAAAGTTTAAATGAATTGTGACAATTCCTATTTGCACTGAGCATTAAACCAGGTAGCCCATAACGGTTCAGAGGGTTTTGAGGCACTGGTTTTTACCTCCTTCACATTAACCTGACCCTGTTCAGATCACAGGAGGATAGATTCTGCCCAACGGAGACAGAATATACCAGATGAGGAAGAGTTTATTGATCAGCGATGAAGAACTACATGAAGGACATAATTACAACTACAATGAAGCACCTCCATCTGGACAACAAACTGGACATTATGTTTGGTAAAGAAAAATGTAAAAACATAACAAAGATTAATTTATAAGTACCAATAATCTGTAGTAATCTGTCAGAGGCACAGAAAACTATCATCATAAAAGTTTACAGATTAAAACGTTTTGTTTTTATTTCTCTCACAATTTCAAATGTGGCTGAATGTGACCCAGGATCCTTCAGTCTGTCTGTAGATATCAGTGTGTTGGTGTCAATGTGTTGCAATTAGTAATTTTATTTCTTTCCTACTGAAGAAATTAATACTTGTATTCAGCAAGGATGTGTTAAATTGTTTTTTTTAAAAGGTGATTGAAAAGACTTATTAATAAAAAATATTTTAATTAAATGCTTTTCTTTTTTTTTAAACTTTTTTATTCATTAATGAATCCTGATGAATATACAAAGTATATATATATATATATATATATATATATATATATATATATATATATATATATCAAATGTATTAAAAATATAATTGATATTCAAATAGTATGTTTATAATACATCAGTATTTCAAACACGATTATTTAAAGTGAATTTAAAATATACTGAATTGCATTTTGGTATATTCCTAAAAAACTATTTACACTATTACACTTTTAATAAATATGCTAATTACAAGCATACTTTAAATATATTTAAAAAATGTACTAGAAGTACACTGGTAATAAATATGCTTTTTATGATAATAATCCTTTCACGTCACCCTTCGCGTGTTGACGTCAGCCCACATTTCACACAATAGGCCTGAAGGTGGTGCCTGAGCCTCATTTAACCATTGTCATAGTTCACAAAATGGTAAACGTTGTATCCAACATGGCTGGATTAGGAAAACTTACTTTGAGAGAGGGATAAACATGAAAACATAACCCCACTAACTGAGATCAAGTCAGTTTTTATTTAAAACAAGCCTATTTGTAATACAGGGTTTCCAAAAACCTTTTAAACATTGATGTTGATAAGACATACACATAAGAAAACACCAGACAAGCTATGTGTAGCCTGAAACATAAGGAACACAATACCGGTACATTAAAAATCTTGGAATTAATTTTGCTTCCTAAATGAAAACAAAAATGAGGATACACTAGTACAGAGAACAAAAGCATAAAGTAGCAGTCAATTTGATTTCAAATGTTGAAACAGTATATGAGCATTCATAAATAGGAGCTGGCCCAAAAAAACTAATTATTATTATAAACAAGATAGCTTTCTTTACTGAGGCCTTAAAATGTGTCTGCTGATTCAGATTATTTCAAACCATTGCTTGATTTAATAAAGGATATTTTAAATTATAACCATTTATACATTTGATTTTTATGAATATTCAGAAATCTTAAATCATAATAAATGATAAATCTTCTAAATGTCATTACAATTTATGAACAACGTTACATTTCCAACAAAATAGCTTAACTCTTCAATTATTTCCCCCTCAAACTCAAAAACAATGTACAATCCTTCACTTTATGTATTATCATCACTTTAACATTTAACAATATAACAAAAACTGTTACATTATATGCTTCACATAAGTAATGTGCATTAACTGATGCCATCTGATTGTGTGAAGAACCCGGCTGTTTGTGACATCACGAGAAATTCATCTCACCAATGACCATATTTAGACTTCCTCCTTCACCTGCGCTCACTGGGCAAAATTCCAATATTTCTAGCCAACAGTTTAAGTGAAACTGAAAGAAAAAATGTCTTGTTTATTCGAATAGGTCTGAGATTATAATTATAAATAATCAACTGATTTTTCTTATTAATCTTTACACCACAAAAGGACAGCAAGATTGACAATAGGCCATCATGGTTATTAAGACACTTACCGGCTGCCCTGTAGGGATCAAAATGTATTTGAGACTTTTCTCAGTGTCTTCTCTTCGGATAATACCTTCATGAGCAACGCCATAGTCCTCATGTCTATAAAAGCTCTCCCGTGGAAAATGCTTGTTACACACCAACAATCTTGTGTCGGTAGTTGATGGGCAGCCCACTGCCTGCAGCCACAATCTAACTCTGTCAGGATCACGGGGGAGCCAGTGCAAACCTGACAAATTCTTAAACCGAGCCAAAAAACACTTGCAACCCATACTGAATTCAGAGGCAGACTGGCATCAGCTCAGTTTAAAGGAAAATGTCATGTGACAGAAAACAAATAGAAACTCTGTTCATACATGCAGAGTCCGATACTGCTTTATCTTTCTTAAAGATCACTAGCAAAGTTAATTGATCGATCAGATTATTTATTTATTTTTACTTTTTAGAGAGGAATCACACTATTTAGGAGAAATCACATTATGTCAGAAAGTACATTAAATCAGAAAGTCTGAAATGATGATTTCACGTAAAGGGATAGTTCACTTTGAAATTAGTTTTTCCATACAAGATGTAGGTGTCTTTGTTTCCATTTTAATATTTTTAGGTCAAACCGTGCACAGAGAAGTCCAGATTAAACATGATTTAATGACTCGTAAATGTAAGTACACATTGAGAGCCTAGCGGTTTGTGTGAGAAAATGAACAGTATTTATATTGTTTTTACCTCTTTTATCCACAGCCACGTCCAAATAATCTGAGGGCGCGGGAGCTTTGTGGCTGTGTTTACAAGAGGTAAAAACGATTACTATTCGTTTTTTTCACATAAACCAGTCGTTTCGTGCCTTAGGCCATCAATGTGTACTTCCATTTACGAGTCATTAAATCATGTTTAATTTGGACTTCTCTGTGCATGCTCTTTGAGGTGGTGACCTCCATTATATGACTGATAGACACTAACGGTTTGACCTAAAAATATAAAAATTGAAAATACTTAGAAACAAAGACACCTACATCTTGGATGCCCTTGAGGTAAGCCAAACCTATCAAAAATTAATTTCAAAGTATTGAAATTAAGTAAACTATTACCTTCAGTAATAGTTCAGTAGTTCATCATTGTCGTGTAAACCTAACCTCAGATAACGCCCTAATCAAACACCTCATTCAACTCATCAGCTCACTAGTAAAGACTCCAAGACCTCAGATGGGACTCCAGGACCAGGTCTAAATAACCTCCACTGGTCTAAATGATCCTTCCACCGCAGAAAACACAGTTTCATCCTATCCAGAAGTCTTGTTTGTTGTACCACCTGACATACTTTATTTACTCTCTGGAAGCCAGGCTAAATGAATGCAGTGTAAACAGTGTAAATGCCTCTGTAAATATAAAATTGTTTTATTTTCAAAGAAGACACATGGTCTATTTTTAAACGTACACATATATGTAACCCATCCACCCAGGTCCAACTCGACCTGCATGCTCCGAACGGGCCTCGATCCCGGGCCTCTGGCATGAGAATCAGGCGCTCTAACAAGGAGACTGAAGATGTTAGAGGCTCCTATTGAGATCAGAGGAGTGAGGTTTACTTGCACAGCAACTACTAGCTGGCCTCCGTTACATATACATACATGTAAAATGTTGAATGGGAGTAGGAGCAGGCTTCACTCAATAAGTTCACTTAGATTTTAAGAGTACCGGCCTGAATGATTAGAATCTATAAAGACAGGAAAGAGGCCACACTATGCATAAATTGTTTTATTTGCACAGATGCGTTTCTGCGCATGCCTTCCTCAGTGTGCAGGAAGGTTGCAGTCTTTATACATGTAAAATATTTACAGTCTTTATACATGTAAAATGTTAAAGAAAACATTATGTGGTGGGTTTTTGAGAGAAAAAAAAGTGTAGTCTTTTTACAGTTTATTTGGGCACTGTAGTCGCACTTCACCATTTGTCAATTGAAGAGCACTTGTGAGATCTCCAAACGGGCATGGGCTTGTTGTTATTTTGGAGAGCGTCCTCCCCACCATCTGCCCAAAACACATTTCTTCATCGTCAAACCTCTCTCTTCGTCATAGAGTGCCATGACTGATTCTTGCACCTGTGTGAACTGGTCGCACTTCTGATTCTGCTCCATGGTATTGTCAGACCACACACTCCAGCTTCAGGGTGTCGAACGAGTCAGAACCATAATTAAACTCGTTCTGTAATAATAACAAAAAAGAAGATCAGAAATGCACAGTACCGTCAGAATAACATAACTAATTTTCTTACCAGTTTTTCAACGTTGGAGTCTGTCTCTCTGTATTTGATGAATTCTGAGAGCCAGCCGAGCATAACCACAATCCGCGGCGTTGTTTTTGTATCCTCAGCATCACCACACTTTCCCGACAGTTTTGTTCTTGCCAAGAACCTGGGCAATCTCTCGCCAGGAGTTACAAGCCATATTCACATCTTTATAGTCTTTTAGGCTAGAGTTGTACAAATGCGGTACTTTCTGACCCCCTGACAATATCTCGTCCTCATAATTGGGTGAATTGGGATAACTTCAGGGAACACTTCAACTAAAAAAAAGCTACAAACTGTAATTGCATAAAGCCACCACATTCGGTAAGACAAACGCAGCGATCATCGTGATTAAATGTATGATACTATAAAAAACAATAGCATAACACAGATTTGTATGTTATCTTTAATTAAAGCAGTGTTTCTCAACTAGCAATCATTCAGTCAGAGCATTTGTGTTTGATCTGTGTGAATTACAGAACAGTTATTATGGCACAATTCTTTACATCTCACCCCGGACCTCACTAGATTTCAAACCCTGGTTACGGCCTTGGAGAGGGGCTGTCGCGAAGAGCACCTGTTACGGGAACCAGGTCCGGTTGTGCCAATTACGGAGCAACAAGCCAGACCTGCTCCTCGTCCTCCATGACTTTGCACAGGTCTGTGCAAGAAGGCTTACTGGGGCATACACATACTTGTTCAATTTCTTCTGTTGAAAATAAAAACTTATTGTGATGAATGTGGATAACCAAGTAGTTGCTACTAGTCCCCAATGAATTCCATAGTATATATTTTCCTACTATGGAAGTCAATGGGGGAACAGTAACTGTCTGGTTAGCCACATTCTCCAAAATATGTTATTTTGTGTTCCAAACAAGAAATAAATTAATACAGGTTTGGAACAACATTAGAGAGTATATAAGAACAGAATTTTCGATTGTGGGTGAACCATCCCTTTAAGGACAAGCTGCAGCATGTTTATAGGCTACTGTCACTTTAAGACCGGCATGCATCTGACACGCACTCACCAGTTTTTCTCTCAATATTTGCTTTCACTTTATATATAACCAAAAGTGACTAGCCTATATTATTTAAACCACATTTCAAAAATATGGTTGGCCTATAGCAATGAACCACTAAAGATAACACAAAGAAAGGCAAACTGGACTAACTACTTTTAAAACTAAGAAAACAATTTTGTGATACAGGTAACCTACCTTTTTAAAAGTTTGATGTCATTGTATTATTCCAATATATTTGTTGACAACAACTGGCATATGCTTTGGATTGTTTGTGAATTTCTAGTAATTCGTTTGAGCTTCTTTTAGCACAAGATGCTTTGTGAATGACTCTAAGATGAAAAGCATACCAACCTTTGTTATTCTCTAAAAATATCACCTAATGCATTGATGTAATAAAAAAAGAGAGAACTCCTTTCAATATATTTATGGTAGTAGCCTACCATCTAGTGGTCAACAAACAATCAGTAAGTAGTTAAAACTTCCTTAGGCTTTGTTCTTTCTTGCAGAATTACCCAGTACTTACTTCCTATAGAGAACACTCAACTATTGGTTGTGTGTCACTGACACACAACCAATAGGGTAATGTAAAAAAAAAAAAAAAAAAATGCTTAAAGAGAAGGTGGGGCTGTTTCTCATGCATGAAAAGCGGCTGACATTCTATTTGAGTGGCACATTCTGCTACATTACTGGCGTACTGAAATGGAAGGATTCTTAAGAATTATAGTCATCGGCGTCTGTGTCGTTTACATTAACGCGCAAAGTAAGTAAACCGTGAAATTGCTGCTTTATTCCTCACTAAATCCTGTCAAAAGGAGTAAAACCAAAAGGTTTGTACCACCTGTTTAGTATCTTAATCAGGTGCTAAATAAAAAAAAAAGGTTTTTGTTGTTGTTACTTTATTGTTATATAGCCTATGAGTTATTAAGGCTTGATTTTTTCATAGTACACAGAATATTCCGTAGCCTAGGCTATTTTTTTATACGTTTTATATACTAATAGTTGATAAATACTTTTTAGTATCGATAAATAGTATTTAGTATTGTAACTGATCTCAATAAAATTATTCCTCTGTCTATAGGCTACTGTAAAAAATAAAAACAGAAAATGTACTGGTAATTTTCTGCCAGGACATTATCCAGTAATTTTACGGAAATTTTCATTAACCTTTAAACCATAACCTAATCCAATGTGTAATTCAAAATCCAGGTAAAACGTCATTAAAAAACAACATGGAAAATTCCTTCATACTGACTTTTTTTTTTTTTACAGTGTACATGTATAAATATAATTATATTCCCAATAATAATAATCTGATTTCATATTTTAGGTTATCATGAATTTGGGCTTTTTGAAGCATGTGGTGATTTAGATGAAGAAGATTTTATTGTCAAATATGATGATGAACAGATGGGACATGTAGACTTCAAAGAGCAAAAAGAAATCCTCACATTACCTGACTTTGTAGGGCAAATTGAGTTTCCGCCACTGTATGAGGACGCAAAAAAAGATGTATCAATATGCAAAAATGTTGCTGGTGTGCTTAAAGAGGTGTATGCCAATTCATCTGTACCACTTGGTAAGATATAAAACAGGCATAAACAACAACAAAAATGTTTAATTAAAATGTTTGAAATTTCATATTAGAATTGGTGGCGTTTGTCTCATCAGAATCCCCCTGGAGCTCAATTTATCCCAAAAGTGAGGCACAGTTGAATGTCAAAAATGCTCTGATTTGTCATGTGACTGGATTCTTCCCTCCACCTGTCAAAGTTTCATGGACCAAGAACAATGTGAATGTGACAGATGGATCAACTGTCAGCAGATACTATCACAACAAAGATGGGACACTGAATGTATTTTCTCGACTGAGCTTCATTCCAGAGGAAGGAGATATTTACAGCTGTTCTGTGGAGCACAAAGCCCTTCAACAACCTCAAACCAGAACATGGGGTAGATATTTATTTATTATTCAGAAATATCATTTTAGAATTACATGACGAATGTCACAAATGTTTGTGTCTGTGCAGATGTAGAGATAACGGAGCCCAGCATCGGTCCATCAGTGTTCTGTGGAGTTGGGCTGGCTCTTGGGCTGCTGGGTTTGGTCACTGGAGTATTTTTCATTGCCAAAGGAAACAACTGCAATTAATTCTGATACAATAACACTGACACCAGTAGATATTCTTTTGTTTTGGTTCTCATGTGAAGTTACATGTGTATTGAAGGAAAATTAAAAATGTATTCTAATCTAACTGTAAATGCCCTTTGCACTGATTTTGCAAGGGAGATATGCTATGATATTTCAGGGTTGTATATTCACAGCAGACTGAGCAGAGGAGGTGTTATACAATAGCTAAAACAGTCTTCATAAGACGTGATATAATATTTAATTGTTGCATTTAGTGTGGTGGCTTTTAAATAGTAGCTGCATCATGGGTTGTGAGAAATCCTCATTCATTCCTTCAAAATGAATAACACTACCTTCATAGATCATATGTTTTTTTAAAAACAAATATTGATTTGTTTATCTCAAATAAAAGTGTAAATCAATTAAAAATATATATTTTTTTAAATCCCCATTGTTGATGTTATGTGTTCTGATGCTATGTGTTGGGTGCCTTAATAAGTGACATCTTATATGTAACTTATAATATATACTTAAAATAATAATAATACAGTGTATATGAAGAGTTCAGATGCAAAAGCCTCTAAATGCCATTTGAAATTTTCTTCTTTAATGATGATTTTTATCAAGCTTGTATATTTAAGTTCAGTGATTTCACTTAAATGGCAATGAAGATTACCTATTAATTGTTATTTAAGTGAAATTACTGAACTTAAATATACAAGTTTGATAAAAATCATCATTAAAGAAGAAAATTTCAAATGGCATTTAGAGGCTTTTGCATCTGAACTCTTCATATATATATATATATATATATACTGTATATATATATATATATATATACTGTATTATTATTATTTTAAGTATATATTATAAGTTACATATAACTTATAATATATATATACATACACACATAGCATATATCAGCAAAGTAAGTAAATACATTTTGTAAATTTAAAGTAAATTTTGAGAAAAGTTGAGTTTAAGTTTTCTGAAAGTACCAAAACAAAATCACTACTTTAAAATCCATCAAATTTGGCAAACACTAAGCCAAAACCAAGTATCTATAGGAAAAAAATATGTATTATTTTTTTTTCATTATATATAACTACCACAGTTGTTTTATTAACATAACGAGCCATACAGCCTAGTCCCTTTATTAACTATATACTATCTAACGCTAGGGGAAAGACCTTTTTTCCTCGAGATATTGAAGCCAAAAAATTATCTTTAATTTTGTATTGGCTGTGCCTATTGGCTGTCCTGCGGCAACTGCAGCAGCCTTTTGAGAGAGGCCCTTTGGTGACGGTCCAATGAGGGCACTTCGCGCCCATTATGTCACACTCCTGCCGAAGGAAGCGGTGATGACGTCACTTTGTAGGACAACCCGGAAGCTAGCGGCGCATGGGTTCCCTCGGTCGAAAAGTAATGCATTTTCCCCATAGACTTTTGGAAAATCGCAAAAAATAAGATCTGTGTTTAACAAAGGGTTATGACCCTTACACGTTTTGTCTAGCAAGATAATCTTTACAAGTTAATCCAAAATTTATACATTTTTAAGCCTATATAAAGATTTAAAAAAACACAATCAGACACAATAAAGTTTAAAAAACCACAAGCAGGTTATAAATGTGTGTTCTATGTCATAGATCAAAACGTGAAAATATTTAGAGGCTTTGTTAACCACAGACCTTATTTCAGGCGATTTAGCAAAAACCCATTCAAAATTCCCATAGGCTTTAGAGCGAGGGAACCGTAATGCTAAAATGCTAACTCACTTCCGCGTTTTGGGATTTTTGACGTATTTTTGACGTATCTCTCATTTGTTTTCAGACAGACCCTTTGTTTTCGTTCAGCGGTCAGTCACGCTAAGGGCCTAGCCGCTTCGAAACAGTCGATCAGTTGAAATTCTCGAATTCGATCAAAATTGATATTTTTCAGTAAGTTTTGCCTGTAGCTCGGAATTAGCCCGTGCAAAATTCTGACACATTTTGCCAGCACGGGTCACACACACACAAACACACACATATATCTATAGATACATAGATAGATAGATGATTGGTGGTTTTTTAGGTGCTATGGAGAGTGCATTTTTAATCACAAAAAATGGTATTGGGGCAAGAACAGAAACATTCCACATTCCACCCATATATTTCTGCAACTTTTTTTGGCTGATCTAAAATCTCATGTGAGTACCCAGTCAGGAGAAACAAACAATGCCCATTTGTCAGCAAGAACTTTCACTTCAGTTTTTATAACTCTGTTGCTTTGCTTGTGGAAAAGGTCCCCATGTAATTTACTTGATCACATGTTGCTTTGTGGTTAGTTTGATGGTGGCTGAGTGGTTGATTTTCCAGTTTGTTGAGTTGCAGTACAAAACTGGATTGGCATCATTTAAGACATTTACTGTAACTGCTTTAGGACTCATTCCATCTCTCGATGCCAGTAAAACAACACTGAATGCGAAATGCGGCATAATCTTGTGATACACCTGGCCTTGTTGTTGCATACTTTGTTTGAAACAGGTAAGCTATAATCTGACTTTAATACATTTATGAAATAGTTCTATAATTTTTTTTTTTACAAAAAGAAAATTATTTAGAAAAAGTCTTTAGAAATATGTTTTTGCAAATTTAAACAGTCTGTAATAGTTATCATTATTGTTATTATTAGTATTATTACTGTTTTGGTATTAGTATTATCAAACTGTCAAAATGTTTGTTGCCCACTTGTTTTTTAGTTCATGGACATTATGGATTCGTCCTATATCTCTGCCGTGTACTTGGTTCTCTACAAAATGTTGAGGTCATCTACTCAATATATTTTGACAAAACTGAATTTCTGAGATTTAACAGTACTGAAAATAAATTTGTTGGTTACACTGAATATGCGATGAAATGGGCCGATGATTTTAATAAAAAACCTGATTGGCTACATAAGGAGTCAGAGAAATCCATTGCCGATTGCAAGCTCTATGGGCAAATCCTCACTATGTTCGAAAAAACAGGTGAGATGCATTGAATGCAAAAAAACTTTTTGAAACCCCACATGAATCACAACAGAAAATTAACCGCATCATGTCTACAGTAAAACCACAAGTCATCGTCAGGTCAGTAAGGCAGGCCAGTGGTAAAAGTCCAGCCATGTTGATCTGCAGTGCCTATGACTTCTACCCCAAACCCATTAAACTGACGTGGATGAGGGATGATAAAGCGATGACAGCTGATGTGACCTCCACTGAGGAGCTGGCTGATGGAGACTGGTACTACCAGATTCACTCCCACCTGGAATACTTTCCCAAACCCGGAGAGAAGATCTCCTGTGTCGTGGAGCACGCCAGCTCTCATAGACCCATGGTCTATCACTGGGGTAAGATGCAATGAAACTGATGACCACAAAAAACAAACTGTTGTTTCTACTATGTCTATACTTGTTCCCTTGTTGTTTTCATCTGAGACAAAACTGTTTTGTTTGATTCGTAGCCTAAACAATTTAACCAACCACAGAGGACTTTTGTTCAGACCAGCATCACTATTATTATAGTTCAGTGGTTCTCAGGTTGTTGTTGTTTTTTTAATGCCTCTCTTTGAAAGTCTTTTGAACTTATTCTTAGTATAGGATTCCTAAATGATTATGATAAAACAGATAATGATAAAACAATTAGGTCTGTCAAACGATTAATCGCATCCAAAATAAAAGTTTGTATTTACATAATATATGTGCGCACTGTGTATAATTTTATATATATATATATATATATATATATATATATATATATATATATATTAGGGCTGTGCAAAAGTTAATTGCGATTAATCGCATCCAAAATAAAAGTCTGTGTTTACATAATATATTTGTGTGTGCTGTATATAATTATTTTGTATATATAAATACCTATGCATGCATGTATATATTTAAGAATTATTTGCGGTTAAATTCTGTATATATTTATAAATACATAATCTATATTATATAAATATAAATATTTTATATATGAATAACATATTTTCTTAAATATATACATGCATGTGTGTGTATTTATATATACAAAATAATTATATACAGCACACACAAATATATTATGTAAACAGAGACTTTTATTTTGGATGCGATTAATCGTAATTAACTTTTGCACAGCCCTAATATATATATATATATATATATATATATATATATATAAATAGACACACATGTTTGTATATATTTAAGAAATATTTTCATGTATATACTGTATATAGATTTATATATAATTTATATTATGTATAAATATAAAAATTGTATATATAAATAATATTTTTTTTCTTAAATATACATGCATGTGTGTGTTCATGTATATTTAAGAAAAAAATATTATAATCGTTTGACAGCTCTAAAACAATATAAAATATAATAAAACATTTAAATAATTCCCATTTTATTTTAAAAAAAGTAACAGAATAGTGTTCGTTGCACAACAAACCATAGAATATTTCAGCACAATTTTATTTATTTTGCAGATTCATCTCTGTCAGAGTCTGACAGGAATAAGATGATAACTGGAGCTGCAGGTGTGGTTTTGGGGGTGATCATGGCAGCAGGAGGGCTGATCTACTACAAAAGAAAACACACAGGTTGGTGTGCAGACACACTCATATTCACATTTTTCAAAACAAAATTATAATAAGGCATTATAAATATCATGGTTTCTCTATTTTAATTACGTTGTAAAATACTAATTATTTCATGTTCATGTTCCTTCATTTACTAGCACATGTCATATCAGCTGGAAGTAAATACATTAGATGCTCTGAACCGCTGTAGGACTCAGTGGCACATCAGAGTGAACATTGAGTAACAGTGTATCAGCTTATTAAAGACATTGAAACCTTCCATTAGATCTTCAGAGGCAACAAACACAACCAGTTCGACTGCAATGCCTGTTTACACAACTGTTTTATTGATTGATCAAAGAGACATTCTCATGTGGTTTGCTCTATAATTGCACTTTTTGATTTTGCAAAGGTTAATTCAAATGCATCCATGCATGTTTTATGTTGATTTATCGTTTACAACCTACACTCGTAGAAAAAAAAGGGTTCATTGGGGTTCTTTATATGAAGCATTACTCAACTCCAAAGAACCTTTTATGCTAAAAAGGTTCTATAATGACAAGAAAGAAACCTTTTGGCACAAATGTTCTTTATAGGCTATTATTCATTCACATATTACATTATTCTGTAACATTTTGTAGTTGTAATTAAATTATTGTTTATTAAACTGTTGTCGTGACTTAATATCACATTTTAACCATGCTGATTTTTGGAGGAGAAAAACTGAAATGGCACTCTTCCTGTGATATTGATTAACTAGATAATATGATATAAATATATACATTTTATAACCGCCATATCTTGAATTTTGTGATCATTCGCATTCATAAATACATTTTAGGATCTTTATGTTTGTCAATAATATGAAATATTTAATCCGGAAAGGACAAGACAAATGATAATGAATGAACCCAAAAGGTTCCATTTAGAACCTTTTTCCGGGGTTCCAAATACGTAGCGCTAATAGAACCTTTTAAGGTTAGAACCTTTTCTTCTGTAGAGGATGATATCTCAGTGAAGATACATTGATAAATATGTTATGGATATTATATTTAATAAATTTGTTGTTCTATTCTAAATATTTTTTAAGGTGCACCACACATGACAGCTGAAGAAGAGAAATGAGAGAACTCCTATTGATTTTCATATAGATAAATTATAAATACATATTATGAATTTTTTATTATTTGCAACAATGTTTTACCAGCAAGATGACAACTATGGTAATGGGTTTTGGTTTCATTTAATTTTACAAACATTACAGTAAATATAAATTCATGTTGTTCTCACACAAAATGTAGTCAATTAACATGTTTCTGCCTACATTTTCTTTACATATAGCTTATAAGCATTCCGAATACCAAAATCATGGATATTTATAGTCTTTTTTAACAAATGCTTAAACGCAGCATGCAGAAATGAAGGCATATTGTTCCAAACCATGGATACAGTATAAAGCCTCTACTGCTGCAACAAAATCAGCTCAAAAGTACTGAAACAAATATTTAAAATATATTTTCAAACAGCTGATATAAACATTTTTAACTTACTGATCATTAGAGTAAGACATGGCTGATTCCAATCTCAATCAGAGACATATAGCCAGGTGTTGAAGACTTTCGATTTGGACATACACAATAAAAAGGTATTTGGATTGGTTTTGTTCAAAGCAACACAGAGGAGCAAAAAAAGAAGAAATGCCTGGACGAGGTAGTTGGACCAGGACAAGGGAGAAGGAGAGGTAGGGGGAGAGGAGTAAGAATGCGTGGAGCTGTTCAGATGTAAGAGCCGTTGTCACGGATGAAATACGAGCCACCATCATAGACCGTGTGATGAACCATATTATGAATGGTAACATGGTAACATGGTCTATCATTGAGAGAGGCTGGTGAAAGAATCAGCTTAATCTCAGAAGGTCAAACGTTGCTTCCATTATTACAGTAATAGACAATAGAATGGCCGAGTTTATACTAAAGCATGAGGAAGTTTGGCAGAATAAATTCCTGATCTCTGTAATGCATACAGAAGTATTGTTTTCACAAAAACAAAAACGAGGAAGTAAAAAATAACATTATATATATAAACCTGCCAAACCTTCTTCACACTGTGGTGGTTATCAGTTGTTATTTCTATTATTGTTCTGCAGATGGCAGCGGTATAAAAGATACAGATGACTAGAGCTTGAACAATAGGGGAGTAGGGAATGAAGGCTGCATGCCAGTTGTTTTATTTTCAGTGTGTTTTTTAAATGAACACAACACACACCATCTGAGAAGAGTCACATTATGTTGGCAACAAAGTTGAAGATTTTAAGCCTGATTTTGTAGCAACCAACTTTTTGTCCATATAATTTTAGACCATATAGGCCTATCTTATCTTACAGGCTAAATAGTATGTAAAGTCAGTAAATACATTACATAAATATAAATATATAGTTATGTGACAAATATTGTGCAATTACTAGAATGTAACAATCATTTTTGGCCTGTGATAGAAGAGCTGACAGATTAAATCTACCGTCAAAAACTACAATAACTTTCTATTAGCATGTTAAACTATTCTGATGAAAATTATGAACTTAGTAGCAATACTAATAGGCTACTAGATGTTTAAAAATACAAACAAAATATTGAATTGCAGAAACCTTAGAATTTTATTTCAATTTTGCCACCAGAGTCTGTCAAATGATCATTATTGTTTTGTTTTATAAAAACAAAAATCTACCATTAAGTTGACAAGTAGAGGGCGCTAAAAACTGAATTTTGTGAGGGCACTCAACATGCTGCAAGTAATGTGTATCTTCAACACATTGAGAAATTAGAGAAATTTTATTAAACCATATTTGACTCAGCAATTACAGCTATACATGCTATGCTATGACTTTGATTCATACGCACACTAAAAAAAAGGGTTCATTGGAGTTCTATATACTGTATGAAGCATAGAGTTCTTTACACAACTCCAAAGAACCTTTTATGGTAAAAAGGTTCTATAATGACAAGTAAGAACCCTTTTGGCACAACGGTTCTTTATAGGCTATTATTCATTCATATATTACATTATTCTGCAACATTTTGTAGTTGTAATTAAATTATTGTTTATTAAACTGTTGTAGTAACTTAATAGCCTAGCCTATCACTCTTCGTGTGATATTGATTAACTATATATATATATATATATATATATATATATAGACCATTTCACAAGATGTAAACAACACTGGTCCAGAAGCACTTCCTGTTTCAGTTTGTAACTGTTTTCTTTATTTCACGTGTAAAGAAAACATCTTAAAGATGTTTGTTTAACTTTTTGATTCAGTTTAAAATGTTCTGTTGGTTGTATTTTATCCCAGCTTTTATGTAGTGTTAAAAAACTGAAACAGGAAGTGCTTCTGGACCAGTGTTGTTTACATCTTGTGAAATGGTCTATATATATATATATATATATATATGAAGAGTTCAGATGCAAAAGCCTCTAAATGCCATTTGAAATTTTCTTCTTTAATGATGATTTTTATGAGCCTGGTTCAACCAGACTCTAGTTCATTTCATTTCCACTGAAATTGAGCGGAAGTGCGTAGGAGGGCGCAGCCAGGCTAGATTTTTATTAAACTTGTATATTTAAGTTCAGTAATTTCACCATTTAAGTGAAATTACTGAACTTAAATATACAAGTTTGATAAAAATCATCATTAAAGAAGAACATTTCAAATGGCATTTAGAGGCTTTTGCATCTGAACTCTTCATATATATATATATATATATATATATTTTCTAACACCCCCATATCTTGAATTTTGTGATCAGTCACATGCATTCACAAATACATTTTAGGGTCTTGATGTTTGTCAATAATATTTAATCCGGAAAGGACAAAACAAATGATAATGAATGAACCCAAAAGGTTCCATATAGAACCTGTTTCCTGGTTACAAAGGTTCTGTATAGAACCTTTTAGGGCTCCAAATAAGTAGCGCTGATCAACCCGTTCTCATCCTAGGTCGACATCCAACTGACGCTTTTTCGGCACCCTTTAGCGTCAATATGAGACGCGCCTCCTAGTGGTCTAACCCTAACCCTACCCCAGACCTAAACCTACCCGCGTCATCTAACTGATGCTAAAGGTTGCCATGTGCGTCGGCTTTAGATGCATGGTCAAAAGCGTCAGTTATGACGCCCTACGATGAGTGTTATCTAACTGATGCTAAAGGTTGCCATATGCATCGGATTTAGACGCATGGTTAAAAGTGTCAGTTAGATGACGCAGGATGAGAATGCGTTGCGCTGATAGAACCTTTTCTTCTCAGAGTGTATCAACCACATAGCATATAACCATATAACCAAATAGCATACCATCAACCATGACAAACAATTCTACTAATCTGACATCGACATCTCATCAATATGACCATGAATGGACAACTGAATGAATGTTCATTGTTTTAAATTAAGCAAAATATGTGAGTCGAGCAGAGGGCTGTGATGAGTAAATTTATGGATGTTTTTTTCAATTACATTTTTGGCCCTGTGGAATTTTAGAAACTAAATTCTTCTAAAATATCCTTTTCATATTTTCACTAGTTTATTTATCCTTTTTTCAAACAACAGAAGGATATCAGACATTTATTAAAATTATTTCTCATGCATGATGCACGTAGATTATAGAAACAGGAAATATAGTGTGTATTTGAGCTAAAGCAGATTTTGCAATGCAAATTTGCATGTCACCTGCACATGACAAAATAACTAACAAAAGTGTCTCTGTTGCTGTATCAGTATAACTATATCCATTTTTTCTCTTTGGCAATGAAAAATACTCCAGTGACCAAACCCAGCAGCCCAAGAGCCAGCCCAACTCCACAGAACACTGATGGACCGATGCTGGGCTCCGTTATCTCTACATCTGCACAGACACAAACATTTGTGACATTCGTCATGTAATTCTCTAATTCTAAAATGATATTTCTGAATAATAAATAAATATCTACCCCATGTTCTGGTTTGAGGTTGTTGAAGGGCTTTGTGCTCCACAGAACAGCTGTAAATATCTCCTTCCTCTGGAATGAAGCTCAGTCGAGAAATTACATTAAGTGTCCCATCTTTGTTGGGATAGTATCTGCTGACAGTTGATCCATCTGTCACATTCACATTGTTCTTGGTCCATGAAACTTTGACAGGTGGAGGGAAGAATCCAGTCACATGACAGATCAGGGCATTTTTGACATTTAATTTCACTTCGTTCCTGGGGTAAATTGAGGTATATGGGGATTCTGAAAGATATTTAGATTGTATCACTGTTTTGTTCAATAACCATATTTAATCCTAATTCTCAAACTGTATGGAGTAAAAAAAGACATCTTACCAAGAGGTTCGGATATATTAAGAGAGAGTATCCTGAGATAAGCATCTTTGCACAACAATCTAATATCAGTGGGGTTATAATTGATGCCTGAGGGTAATGTATCAATTCCAGCAATACCATATAAAATATCAGGTACCAAGAGAACTAGTTTTGCATCTTCTAAATCCACATATGCAGCCACTTCAGTCTCATAAGTGTAGAGAATTTCATTACTTCCAGCTGATCCACTGCATGATTCAATCATGCCATATTCATAATAACCTAAAGATTTCAGAATTTAAAAGATATGTTACATATTACCTAAAATATATTGTTTAACTCAAATTATTTAATTTGACCTGAAATAAAAACAATTATATATATATATATATATATATGCACTGCAAGTAAAGTGAAAATAAAATTTGTGCATTTATTTCTGTTATAAACATAATAAAACAACAACTCAAGCTTTAGCAATATTACAATGGCATATCATACAATATTGTGAATGGAGTATTGAAGGATTATCATATATTGATTGGAAAAATCAGCAAAAATTATCATTAATGAATCACATTTTAAATCACATTATTAATTCAAAGTTTAAGGATTTGTCCTAAAGCTTTTACTTACTTTGACCTTCAGTATATGGCAAATAGGCAATGAATAATGCTCCGTAAAATGACACAAGCATGTTTGTTCACAGAAGTGAGTCGGTTTTTTGGATCCTTACAGCTATGGTGCTGTGGTTAGTCATGAACTTGATATTCTGGTATTGATATGATCTTGGCTCAATTTAACCTCTCAACCACCAGAGGTCACCATCACCAGAATTTTGATCTAACTCATTATGACATTCAGTCAGTCTTGGGTCTGTTTACCACAGTGGAACTGGATTTAGGGCTGCAAGTTACTTAAATAGTTATTTACCTGGATAAAGCTATTTATTTGCGTTTCCATTTATCTCATTGATGGTTCCTGGATTGGAACAAAGCTTCCCGTTCGTACTTCTGCTTTGACATCTGCTTGTTATAGCCTATGGATTTGGATAGTTTTGCTTCATTTGAGATCTCATGCATGTTAACCACTTGTCTTAACCTGCTTACAGTTACAGTATGATGTCCTTCAATAAAAAAAAAAAATTTGTGAACTTGTGAAACTAGACTTACTTTTTGCATACTGTGAAGAATAGTCACGTGACATGTGCGTGTCCATAGCAAAAGAAAAGAAAGGATAAAATCTGATAAAACAGCATTAATCAATACTTCAACAACATTAGTCAAAGCACAATAAATGAACAACTACTACTTTTTTTTTATACCTTATCTAAATATTTAGATCATGCAATGGAAGAAAATTCTGTAGATGGTAACTTTGTGGAGTAAAAACACAAAGATATCTTACCAAGAGTTTCAGATACATTAAAGTGGAGAATTATGAAATAAGAATCTTTGCGAAAAGGTGTTAATCCAAATCAGTGGGTTAACATTTTGCAAGAGAAATTTAAGCTAAATATAGTATATACAGTGTAATATGAGAACTGTTTTCCCCTCTTCTAGATCCATGCAACACACTGTATTCAAAGACAAGTACACACAGCGGCATGACTTCAAAAACGCAGTACAACCTAGTGGTACATTTGACCGTGTTTTTGTCTGCTTTAATTGAAACAGGTAAGAGTAAATGTTATTATTATTATTATTTACAAAATGCTTTTGTGTTGATTTATTATACATTTACCAAATTTCTCCTAAGTTCTCAAAATTAAATATTGCAGAATTTTTTTTGTCTAAAATCACCATCATTAATCATCTTTAACACGTTAACACATCTGTCAAATTTAATATGTATATCATTCCTGATTAATTTTCCCCAACTACTGCAATATTCAAAGGTTCTGACTTAACGAAAATCCCACTTCTGATTCATTAATACTCATTCTGATATCTTTTTTTATGAAAATTGAAACATTGCGCCCAATTTTCATACAGTTTGGTTATATTTATTAGCTAATCTTTGTATTTTATGTCTGTTATTTTCTCTTTCTTTTCTGTTTCAGTTCATGGACATTACGGATATGTCCAAATTCTCTGTCGAACTGACTCTCAACAAAACACTGAATTTATCTACTCGGTCACCTACAACATGATAGAATATCTGAGATACAACAGCACTGAGGATATAGTTATTGGTTACACTGAATTTGGAAAGAAATGGGCAGAGGACTACAATAAAAACAAGATTTTACTCGCACAAGCAGAATTTGCTCTGAAAGATTGCAAAGAAATTGGAAAATTTATTTTCCCTTATGCAGGGACGGCAGGTGAAAGACATTTTCTTTTTATTCAGAAGTCAATATGTAAGATATTATTAGGGCCCGAGCACTAACAGTGCGAGGACCCTATTGAAACTGTTAGGATTATTTTTTTTTTTCTTTTTTCTGCAAAGTAAGTGCCATTTTCGGGGCCGCAACATGCTCAAAAACTCACCAAATTTGGCACGCATGTCAGGACTGGTGAAAAATTTCGTATTTTGTGGGTTTCGCGGATGGGCGGGGCAAAATGGCACGCTAGCGCCACCTAGAAAATTGGAAAAAAATAGCCCCTCGTCCACATTCAACCTACATGCACGAAATTTGGTGGGGACGTGTATCATATCAAGACGCACAAAAAAGCCTCAAGAACCCATACCCTAAACTCGACAGGAGGTCCGCCATTTTGAATTTGGCGGCCATTTTTGGACGATTTACACACTCCGTACTTTAACGAACTCCTCCTAGGGATTTAGTCGGATCGACTTAAAATTTCTGCTGTGCCTTCTAAAGGCATTGACGATGTAAAGTTGTGCTATCTGCGCATTTTCGTCGATGGGCGTGTCCATGGCGTCGATGATTCGCCATGAAACAGGAAGTTGTAGTAACTTGGCTGTAAATGCCCAGATCTGCACGAAATTTTACACATTTGACAAGAGTCCCGCCCTGAACAAATCTAAATGCCGACATTCACCCACAGTCATAGCGCCACCTGCTGGCAACAGGAAGTGACCTTTAACGAAGCAGCCCCCGCCGCTTGTTTGACCGACATGTACAAAATTTCTGTGGTACATCTACCATGACCAGACGTACAAAAAAGCCTCAAGAACCCATACCCTAAACTCGACAGGAAGTCCGACATTTTGAATTTGGCGCCCATTTTGGGACGATTTACACACTCCATACTTTAACGAACTCCTCCTAGGGATTTAGTCGGATCGACTTCAAATTTCTGCTGTGCCTTCTAAAGGCATTGATGATGTAAAGTTGTGCTATCTCCGCGATTTCGTCGATGGGCATGTCTGTGGCGTCGATGATTCGTCCATGAAACAGGAAGTTGTTGTAACTTCAGTGTACATCCTCAGACCTGCGCAGAAATTTTATACGTTATACAACAGTCCCTCCCTGAACACATGTACATGCCGATATTAGCCCACAGTCATAGCGCCACCTGCTGGCAACAGGAAGTGACCTTTAAAAAAGCAGCCCGGCCGGATGTACACAGCTGAGCTCCAGAATGTGCAACGCGGACGCCTCAGACTTCGACGTGCTACAGGTGCGAGGGCCCGCCCATCGCTGCTTGCAGCTTTAATTTTGTTATTGTATTTTGGTATTTGACATAATCATGTCCAACTTGGTCCAATTTGACAGTAAAACCAGAAGTAATTATCCGGTCAGACAGGGAAGCTATTGGGAATCAGAAAGCTGTTCTGGTGTGCAGTGCCTATGACTTCTACCCCAAACCCATCAAACTGACGTGGATAAGGGATGATATTGTGATGACAGCTGATGTGACCTCCACTGAGGAGCTGGCTGATGGAGACTGGTACTACCAGATTCACTCCCACCTGGAATACTTTCCCAAACCCGGAGAGAAGATCTCCTGTGTCGTGGAGCACGCCAGCTCTCATAGACCCATGGTCTATCACTGGGGTAAGAACAGAGTTATGACTCATTTAGTGTTAAAAATAAGATTGTTGCCTCACTGGACAATATGAACTGAATTTTTCTTTCACTTTACAGATCCTTCTCTATCCGAGTCTGAGAGGTCTAAGATAATTCTTGGGTCTGTGGGGCTGGTGATGGGGGTCGTGATGGCAGCCGGAGGACTGATCTACCATAAAAGAAAACACACAGGTTGGTATTCACAATTTGGTGGTGGGCTGGTGGTGTGATTAAAAAATCATCTTCCGCGTCATTATCAATTGAAATGTTGTCATTTTGTGGACGTCTACAGGCTTTTACCGACTTCCAGTTTGTTTACTTCCACTGCAAACAATGGACGGCACTGAACAACAGCCGTAACATCTGGGACTGCATCATCATTCCATACGACTCGAGAGAAACATCAACTGAGTATGAAGACTGTATGACAACAATCAGGCATCAGTCATCTAAGCCTCAACTTCTGATTGTCCATTTAATCTCATTTAATACGCAGTCAATTAAAAAGGCAATTAACTCTTTATAGTCACTGTCACTTCTCTTATGGCTATTGATTTTCTGCTTGCATCTTCAGAGCCCCTATAATGCCATTTGCTCCTGAGACTTTTGTATTCGCACAAACTTTAGTAAAAACTAGCGAGAATGAGCCAGAAATGGGCATTTTTAGAAAATTACATGCAGGTGCAAATAGTATGTTTTGCATTTCATCTGATTAAATCAGTAAACTGTTGTTATAGTAAAGACCATCAGATTTTTGAGACCATCTTGCCATTGATCTATGATGTCAAAGGCAGCATACAGGTAAAAATATTCAACGCAATCTCACGAACAATTCGTACGAATTCATATGAGTGAGTAATATGTGACTGATTCGTATAAATTCGTACGACCTCACTCGAACCATTTGTCTAAACCCCATTGATGTTTAGGTTTAGGGGCGGGGTCAGGGGGAGGTCATTTGCACAAATTCATACGAATTGCGCAAATCGTAAAATATGTATGATTTAGCAAAAAACATTTTGGCTAATTTCGGTGGAAACGCAGCTTATTTTTAGGTTTTAAGCTGCGTTTTCATCTAAATTACCCGTTGCTTTCTTCGTCAACTTATTCAACCAATCAAAATTCAGCATGAACTCAACCAATAAGCATGTTCAGTGCCCATGTACCCACAGCTATGGGGCGGCAGTGGCTCAGTGGTTCATATACTGTAGGTTGTCTACAATCTGAAAGGTTGGTGGTTCAATCCCCGGTTCCACCTGGCCAAGTGTCGAGGTGTCCATGAGCAAGACACCTAACCCCAGCTGCTGCCGACGAGCTGGATGGCGCCTTGCATGGCTGACACCGCCGTCGGTGTATGAATGAGTAAGTGAATGGGTGAATGTGAGGCAAATGTAAAGCGGCTTTGGTGACCATTGGGTCTTTGAAAGCGCTATATAAATGCAGTCCATTTACCATGTCCCACTCCTGAAAGTTCCCAAACTTTGAAAAAGTACTACCTCGCCAGTAGGGACTTTCCGAGGGGAAAATTTTTACCCGGAACCTGGTTCCTGTGGTCAACACACACAGAACCATCCCAAACTTCCTAGTTCCTGGGGAAAGTTCCTCCGGAGGAAACAATGCTTAGTCTGATGAAGATGAAGACAAAGATGAAGCTAACGCAAACAGATTATTGCTCTATTACACTATTAGTTTGTAGATGTATTGTGATAATGAACATAGTTGAGTCTGTTACCTTGAAACCAGACTTTTTGATACTTTTTGTATCTTGTAGTAGAGTGACTACTGAAACTACTGAAAGAGTAATAATAAAATATATTTTTACTTTATCTAAATGTCAACTCAAGGATAATACAGTGTTTCTGACATAGATTTTGCAATGCAAATTTGCCTCGGATCTGGGCAAATCAACACAACTACAAATATGGCATTGTTAGTGTGTCAGTGTAATGGACCGATGCTGGACACTTTTATCTATACATCTGCACAGACACAGACATTTATGTTTCGTCATGTTTTTAGAAGGAATTAGATGTGAATAATACATATGAATTTAATAAATATAATATTAGATATTATTTTTATTTAGTATGACTTAAAGGTAATTTGTTCATTCAAATTGGCTTTAAATAATGGCACTCAATAACTATAGACAACTAATAGCCTAATATTAAATGTGCATAAGTGATTTTTTTTAACGCTCACATCTTTTGTATCATAATGTAATTAAAAACATTAATAGTATACATCTTGAGACAAAACAATTGCACTGACATATTTTAAATCACTTTCAGTTAAAACATCTCAAACATGCATTTTAGTCTGCCTTGTCTGTGCCTTGTCTTGTCTTCCAGACAGTGATTGTCACACATTTTGAGATTCATTTTAAGCCTGAGTTTCCAGGGGTCTCCACAAGGAGGACATCGAGCTTGAGACTGTGAGATATCAGCATTAAGAGAATGATGCCTAAAACTGAAAATGACTCTTATTTATACAGTCAAATGAACAATGTCAATCAAACATTTAGTGACAAATTAAATATTATGTCATGTTTTGTTGTAAAAAGTTGGTCACATTCGCAAAGCTTTGGAGTCTGTAAGATTTTGTAAGATGTCTCTTATGCTCACCAAGGCTGCATTTATTTGACAAATATAATAAAAACAGGAACATCGGGGAAATATGGAAATATTATTACAAATTAAAATAACTGTTTTCATATTTTAAAATGTAATTTATTCCTGTGATGTCAAAGCTGAATTTTCAGCATCGTTACTCCAGTATTCAGAGTCACATGATCCTTCAAAACTCAGTCTAATACTGATTTGGTGTTCACGAAACATTTCTTATTAATGTTGAGAGTACACAGTAACAGTTGCAGTAACATAATAATTTTTGATATGTTTTAGCTTACCTCAAGGGCATCCAAGATGTAGGTGTCTTTGTTTCCACAGTATTTTCAATTTTGATATTTTTCGGTCAAACCGTTGTTGTCTATCAGTCATATAATGGAGGTTTAGGGGGTCCACCCTGGGTTCACCTCAAAGAACATGCACAGAGAAGTAAAAATTAAACATGATTGAATGACTCGTAAATGTAAGTTCACATTGATGACCTAAGCAACCCGGTCTCACCCCAAGACGTCATATAACTGACGTTTTGGGACGTCTTTTGACCATACGTCAATATTCGCCTTTTTAGGGCCCCCTTAAACGTCGGTAGATGAGGTTATGGGATCCTAACTCTACCCCATACCTAAACCTAACCCTAAACCTAACCCGTCACCTGACGTTAAAGGTAAAGCGTCAGTTGTATGACGGCCCGGGATCGCCATCTACCGACGTTTAAGGGAGTATTTATATTGTTTTTACCTCGTGTAACCACAGCCATGGCCAACTGATCTGACGGCACGGGCTCTTTGGTCTGCGCATGCGGTGGAAGTGATCTTCCATTTCAGCCCATTCTCACCCCCAAGGCGTCACTTAACTGACGCCTTGGGAAGCATTTGGACATGCTTCAATATCTGACGCTTTAGGCGCCCTTTAGCGTCAGTTAGATGACGCCCTAGGATCGCGTGTACCCTATCCCCACCCCACACCTAAACCTAACCGCGTCCTCTAACTGACGCTTTCCTTTAGCGTCAGTTAGATGACGCCGTAGGATCGCGTCATGTAAGTGACGCTAAAGGGCGCCTAAAACGTCAAATATTGAAGCATGGTCAAAGGTGACGCCTTGGGGTGAGAATGCGTTGTCCATTTCTACATCACTCCTTGTTTACACAGAGATTTCGGAAGTTTTACCTTTCACTAAATATATTTAGATATATTGAAATTGTCTTCCATTGCGATTTCCTGTATATCTAGATATGTTTAGATCTTCACAGTGAAAGGTAAAACTTCCGAAACACAAATTAAATCATTTTCATCCGCCTACTACTCCATATGCAGTAACGATTAACATTTCAGTGGCGGAACGATATTTTTATCCCATTCAACTGAGAATTATGCTAATTACATCTATTTTTTTTTCTTAGACCAGATCATTTAGTGAATCAATAATACTGCACTGTATTGTAGTACAAATCTAGGGTGCCTACAATCTTTTGAAAGGCAGAAAAAATTTATGACATATGCTTTTCATAAGTTTGTGTCTTTCTCTCCTTCTGTCCATCAAAAGTTTTCTCCCACAGCCCTGGGACTGGTGGCGTTGGCCTTTGATTTTAATACTGAGAGCATAATTTATGTAAGATGTTTGAATAGCTTTTTCAGTGCGGCTAGATTAAAGAGAGTTCCATGTAATGGAACAAAAAAAGCATCTGCAGATTTTATTTAAATATATTTCAAACCTCCAATGAGTTTGATAGAGTTGACAAAAGCAGAGAGAGGAAGAGTTTTGAGAACACTATTAATACATTGTATGTGTGTGTTTTCAGCGAATGCTTGCTTTGTTTTTAATACTTTCAATTCACACATTTATTTCTATAGCGCTTTGCAAGCACACACATATCGTTTCAAAGCAGCGTTACAGAAAATGCATGTGTCTACATTACAATATACAGTGATTAATTATCGGAGGTGACTGCGTCCAAGTTATGCATTTCAGAAATGTACATATACAAATCCAATATTGCACAATAATACACCCATCCATCCGTTCAATCCTACTCCTTTGAGTTAGTTGGTCACATCTATCTTTATTCTGTGCAGAAGATCAGTTTAGTTTTTGTTGATTCACAACCACAGGCCAGATTGTTAGCAGTCAATATTTGTCAGTGAGTCTTCAAGTTGCGCAACTTCTTTATTATCCCCATGCTGATGCAACAAGATCTGTTTGCTCTCTATATACGAGGGTTTAGAACATAGTTTGAAACAAATCTTTACTCATATTTCTAAGTTTAAGACTTTAAAGATAAATATTGGCAATCTGTCCTTTACAATTCAGCCTTGTGTTTGCTCAGTTGTCTCTTAGAAAAGTAAAACGATGGTAAACATGGCAACGTAGACAGCCGGTAATCCTCTTGGACACCATGTGGTGTAAAAATGCAACCCCTGCCCTCTGTGCGTGAATGTGGGGGTCTGTATGTTGTAGTATCAGTTAGTATCCATGTGAAAAAGAAGTACAGTTTAACATACTTTTAAAAAGAATAATTATTACTGAAATAATATACTTTAAAAGAATAAACGTAAGTTATCACTGAACTTACGTAGGATTTAAGTACATCTTAATATGTAAGTTTTATGTTAATATATCTATACTGTATGTAATAATATTGTATAACACACTACAGTTCAAATATAAATATAAGAAAGTACTTTACATGTGTTTTAGTACGTTAGTCAACAAATCACAATAAGCTTTTTTTAAGGATGACAAAAGATTAGTAAAACATAATGTGATTTAAAGACATTATTACAGTACACTTTACAAAAAGTGTTTTAAGAAACAGTCATAAAAGTGTACTCTCACTTTAGGTGACCTTTTATTTCAGTAATATTATATTATCTGCAAGTACAGTTTTTTATAATATACTTTTAAGAATTGAAGTACACCACAAATGCACATCAAATTAAGGACACTTCTTTTTCACACTTCAACGATATGGTCATGATGAGGCTTTTCTTCACTTTTGTAAGTATGTGTCTGTTCATGTAACAATGTCTGATTCATTAAAGGGTTAGTTCATCTAAAAATGAAAATTCTTAATTAATTAATAATAATAATTAGTTACTCGCTCTCATACCGTTTCAAACTTGTAAGACTTTCTTTTATCTTCGAAACACAAATGAAGATATTTTTGATGAAATCTGAGAGCTTTCTGTCCCTCCATTGACAGCTACGCAACTACCACTTTGAGGCTTCAAAAAGTTCATTAAAAGAACGTAAAACGAATCTGTATGAATTGAATGGTTTAGTCCAAAGAATTTTAAGTGACTTGATCGCTTTATACAGTATGATGATCAGATTTAATTTAGTCTTTTATTCACATATAAACATTGATCAGCGAACCGAAGCTCAGCCAGTTTGTTCTCGCTGCTTGGTGCGCGAGAACAAACCTGTTGTGGAAGCTCAAACTTGCAGTGTAACACGAGAATGAACTTCATTGGTTCTTGCAGAAGCTCAAACTTGCTGCGTAACACGAGAAACAACTTCATTGGTTCTTGCAGAAGCTCAAACTTGCTGCGTAACACGAGAATCAACTTCATTGGTTCTCGCACATCAAAGCTAACATG